AGCGCACATCAAGGCACATCAAGTAGAGAGCGCACATCAAGTAGAGAGCGCACATCAAGTAGAGAGAGAGAGACGGACGAGTCGTTTCCAACGGGACTATGTATTATCGACTATTGGTGGGAGTTCCTTCTGAAAATACACGAGGCCAGTTCCAGTTCCTTCTTCGGCGTCTTTCACACTGCCTAGGTAGTTGCAATGAGCTCCTCTGTCCGCAGTGGCTACGCAGTCTGTAGACAGCAATCCTGTTCATCATCCTGCATTTTCCATCTAGTCCAAAACACGACCCGCTACCGCGGACGCGCTCTTGTCATTGGTTTTGGTCTTCTTGAGGGATTTCCCACCTTGAATTTCGCTCAAGAAACCGGCTGGACGGCCACCTGAAGGCAGGGGTTGCGAGGGTGGAGGAGGTGCTCCCGCGCCGGGCATCGGCGGAGGAGGAGGTGGTGGTGCTCCAGCTGGTGGCATAGGCGGCGGCGGCGGCGGCGGCGGCGGCGCTGAGGGAGCGTCGGAACTGGGCATAGGTGGCGGCGGCGGAGGAGATGTAGGGCCATTGCTCTCCGGCATTGGAGGAGGAGGAGGAGGAGGAGGTGGTGGTGGTGGTGACGGTGCGGCGGGAGCATCCGAACTTGGGGCCGGTGGAGGCGGAGGCGGCGATGCAATAGGGGCGTCACTTGCGGGCACCGGACTGGCTGGCGTAGAACCGCGTCCGGCAGCAGAAAGTGGCCGTGGAGGGCCCATGGTGCCGAACAGTATCGACGCCAGTTGAGCAGCATTACCACCTCCTGGCCGCTCGTCATCCGAGTCTTCATCCGCGTCCTTATCAGATCCCCAATCGTCCGAGTCAGCTCGCTTCCTGGATACTGGTCCAGCAGTAGCAGCAGGAGGCTGGCCCATACGGTGAAAGGGATTGGTAGATGAGACAGGACGAGGCGCCGGAGGCGTAGGCGTATTATCGCCAGCTCGACTAGTGGACGACGGCTCTGCTGCATGTGAGATGATCTCGGCGTAGGGATCCTTGCTCTGGACGTCAGTGTCAGCTGGGGGTGATGTCACGACTGTTGGCACAGGAGGAGCTGTGGGCAGGACAGCCGGGGGAGGGCTGTGCCTCTTCCCTGTCTCCTGATGAGCAATCTGACTGCCGTTTGGAGTAGACTCTTGGGGCGTGATTTGTTGAGGGCCGTCGTCGTCTGAAGAACTGTCGTCATCGTCTAGAGCCTCGAGTTGTCGTTGAAGTTCGAGCTCACGCTGCTTAGCCGCCTCAATCTCCGCGCGTCTCGCAGCCATGTTGGCCTCTTTCTCCTTGGCTTCCGCCAGAGCGGCCTTCTTGCGTTTCTTCTCTTCCTCCTTGCGCAACTTGCCCTGCCTTACTTGCTCCTCAAGGGCCTTCAAACGAGCTGCGGCCTCCTCCTGTTCCTTGGCAAATTCGTTCTCTTCCTCTTTGACACGTTCCCTGATCAGCTGTTAGTGCTATACTTGGACGGCATAGAAGCAGACATAAACATACTCCATCTCCCTGGTTTCCCTCTGCTGCTCCTCACGTTGTCGAGTAATTCTTGCCTCTTCAGCAGCTTTCGCAGCCCGTTCTTCTTCTGCCAGCTTTGCTGCATCCTCTTCGGAAGCATCCGTCCTGGCGGCTTTTCTTGTCGGGGGAGGAGGAGGAGCTCTCGTCGCAGGTTTAGGCGTCTCTGAAGCTGGCACAGGAGGAGGCACACCATGTTCGTCAGCAAGACGGGCTTGCCGCTCAGCCTCTCTGCGGGCATCCTCCTCCTCTGCTTGCTTCAACTTGGCGGCCCGTTCAGCCCGTTCACGCTCCGTCCGCTGGGCAGCCGACTCGCCTGACTTCGCTGGAGCCTTGATTCCAAGCGCAGCTAAACGCTCAGCCATTCTCTGCTCTGCCTGCTGTTTAATGTACGCTGCGCGTTCCTCCGGCGTTTTGTATGAAGAGTATGTGCCGCCAGCAGCAGGCGCTGCGGCAGTGCGAGACGTGGAGACGGGACTTTCGAGGCGCGGACTGGCAACTCTTTCTGGATGGGATTGCTCGATTGCTGGTGAGGCTCGAGCAGGATGTTTGTCTTGAGCGCGCAAACGGGCAGCACGACTTTCGCGCTGCAGGTCGAAGATAAAGTCACGAACCTCGTCTTCAACTCCAAGAGCATCTTCCCATCGTCGTTTCTCATGTTCGCTGGAGTTGTCCTTGCCGCCTTCTTTAAGCCCATCTTCAATGCCGCGTGCAAAGTCGCGAACGCTCTCTTCGACATCACGGACCATACTCTCGTTGCTCTCCTTCTCAGTCTTGACTTTAATAGTTTCCTCTTCGAGTCGCTTCGGGGCGTCGATATCCTCCGGGCCAATGTCAATTTTCTTGCCGGTCAAAGCAGCTGTCCGTTGTTGCATCATAGCCTTTGCTTTGGCCTTCAGCCGATCGCTCTCGGTCACAGATCCTCCTGGACCGGTTCCAACGATTGGTGGACCGCTATTGGGGTGTAACTTGGCATCTTTTAGCCGGAAAAGCTCAAGCCGAGCCTCCATGATGGCCTTTTCAGTTCTTCGGACCTGAGACGCAAGTTCCGGGACTTTGTCAGCAAACTTCTGGAGCTGACGTTTTAGGGAGCGCCTCTCCGCATCGAAATCTCCGGTAGTCAGGGCTGCATCAGGATGGGCATCGATATCTCCCTGAATACGTCTGATACGTCTGTATAGCTCCTCGGACTCCCTCCGGTCCCGACGATCCAGTATATCATCCTCTTCATTGTTTCTTTCATCGGCAAAGTCCATCGCATCCAGTAGAACCTGCTTCTCCTTGATCTTCTTCCTCAATTGATCAAGAGAAAGGTCGTCGCTCGATGCCACAGACCCGGGCGACTCAGAACGCGGAGACGAGTTTCCGAGTCTTCTCCGAGCGCTGGACCGGTAGCCAAAATCTTCGTCGTCATTTCGGAAGACGGTAGCATCTTTGCGACCTCCTTGAGCTCCAACGCCCGTGCCCCTGAAAGAACGGTTCTTCATGTAGCTAACACCCGTCTTCTGGGGCAGAAGAGCTGCGCCAGAGTTCTTTCGGAGGTCTGACTCTCGGTTTAACAAAGACTTGAGAGTACCGATGGACTGGCTGAAATTGCGTGTCGAGGGTGGGACAAGTTCCGGGGGAAGGTTACTGGGCAATGGATAGCCATTGAGTTTTCTGTAAATCAAATGCATGGCAACGGCGAACTCATCGAGGTCCAGTCGGCCCTTATTCCCACTGTCGGACAGAGTCCAGACCCTCTCCAAATCAGGCTTCTCAAGACCACTTTGGCCAAAGATTTCAATGGCTTGAGAGCCGCCAATGTATCCCCTGCCAAGCCCATCCCAAGCTCTAAACAGGGCGTCATACCGCGTCTTTTCTTCCTTGGTGATTGCCCATGGGATGACCGCATTGCCTTGAAGCCCTTGGGTGGTGTAACTGCCTGCTTCACGGCCCTGTTGTGGCATCATTCGAGCCTGTAGGGCATCGATGTTGGGCAGCCCAGACGCGGGCGCGTTTACCAAACCCCACTGTCCAGGCCGCCCAGTTGGTTGGGCATTCAGAGGCATTACCATGCTACCATCATTGGGACCTTGACCAAAACCAGTAGGCATTGGCGGCATGGGAGGTCGCGGTCCTTGGTATCCTGTCGGCTGAGGGTTCTGCATGCCGGGGAACCCAGTCTGATGAGCCTGGAGGCCCTGGGGTTGGCCGCCAAAACCAGTCTGCTGCTGGCTAGGAAATGCCGTCATCTGCGACTGGAGAAGCTGAGAGTTGGACGGCTGCGGCTGCGGCGGCGGCTGTTGAGTAGCTGAGGGTATTGCAATGTCGGTTTGGAAACTAGGGCCATTGGTAGCTGATGCGGACGCTGGAGCATCATCCACTACACTGAAGCCGATAATATCAACCATGCTGGAAACCTCGTTTTTGATGTTATCCGGAAGCGATGGGGGCAGAGACTTCCCGGTCAGCTTCAGATTACACAAGTACATAGCAAGCGCAAACTCCGGGAAGTATAGCTGACCAGCACGCGTGGTGTCCGCCAGAGTCCTGCGCAATGGATCTGTTAGCAAGATACAAACATAGACGGGGCGCTATGCAGTCCCGTGTAAATCCTACCAGATATGAGAAAGAGTATCCCCATCCAACCTAGATCTCAGCAGAAGATCTCTGGCCTTGTCACCGGACATGGTATTCGAATTGTCGCCTACAGCAGACTTGAACAAGGTCTCAAACTTGGATTGATCCTGGGCTGTGATAAACGAAAGTCTAATATTGGGAATCTTGTTCGTTCTCTCTGCTCGTCGTCCTTGAGGCCTCGCGGTTCCTCCAGTGTGAAACGAAGCAGCCATTTCAGTGAAGCCGGTTGGCTGAGACTTCATCGGAGGCTGCGTGGGTGCAGAGGCTTGGACCGGAGAGGATGAGGCAAACCCAGTGGGCTGGGAGACTTGGAATGAAGACTGCGCATGCGGTTGCGCCTGCTGTAGTTGATGTTGCTGCTGCTGAAACTGCTTCTGGTATTGTGGAGGCATCGACGGCATCGGAGGGGCAGCTCCGGTCTGGTAGCTCTGTTGAGGCTGTGCCTGGCCCGGAAATCCCGTGTACTGCTGCTGGAGCGGCTGTTGAGATGATTGTGGCACACCTGTCGGCTGGGCATGCATTGGGAACCCAGTATATTGCTGCTGCAATGGCTGCTGTGCGAATCCCGTGGGCTGCGGCGCAAAGGGGCCAGGCTGCTGCTGCTGCTGCTGCTGCGTGGTGGTGTTGAAGGAACTTGCACCATATTGCTGGCCTCCAGGTCGTTGGCTGCTGCCGCCGAGAAAGGTGTTGGTATTGGAGTACATGACGAAACCGGTGTCTCGTATCTTGGGTCTCGTCGAATGATGGAGCTCCAGTAGGCGCAACTTCGGGAGGCTGTCGCGAATCGTGATATTGGCCGAAACGACTCGTTCGGGTCAGGGCCCCGGGAGCGAGAAGCTCCGCAGTAGAGGCGACGGTAACGGAGCGAGCGCGAAACAATCGGACAATCGAGAGTGAAAGGCAAGGCACAATGGCAAGCCCCGTGGGAGGGGAAAGGCACGCCCAGGACTATGCAAATCAAACCACCGACGCAAGATTGTTGCGAGGGCAGATGACGGCGCGAGGTTGAAGGAGGCTGAATGGGAGCAGCAAATGTCACGAGTCGAGAGTCACGACTCCCTGGCTGGGCACGGAGGCACGGAATAGTCCGCGTACTACTCCGTACTCCGTGCGGAAGGCGGGAGGAGGCTACCTACCGCCTGCCAGGATGGGACACGGAATGGCGTGGCGCAGTGTTCAAGGGTTTGGGGTTGGGTTGGGTTGGGCACCACTGCCAGGTGCCCATTTCGCCGCCTGCGGCTTTGTCCCTGGCTCAGCCCCACGGCAGCTCGGACCCTGCCAACCCGCTCGTAATAACTACGGCAAACGGACCGCTGTCCTCGGTCCAGCAATAATACAATAAATATCCCGGACCAGCGAGGCGGGCTCACTGTTTACACCATTTCCCATGCAATATTTCAAATGCTCACTTCTCTCTCAAACTACACTTAGCTAGGCCAAAGAAACATGTTAACGAGGGGGTATCGATCGAATGCAGTGTGTCTCATATTCCAACAAACGCCGTCCATGTGTCTCATGCCTTGCACAAACTCCATACATACCCGGACAAGGCCCGCTTATCAAAAAAAGAAAATTTACAGGCCCCCCTCTCTCCCGAATCTAGTGGTGAAAACGAGCCGCCACGCCCATTCATGCCGACTCCGTATCAGTTGCGCCGTCCTCCTCGTCGATGCGGCTCGTCGGATCGCCCATATATCGCCTACATCTCTTCACTTGCAGACCATCCTCCGCATCATGTCCATCCGAGCAAGTGTAATTCGACTCGTCCATGATGGCCGATGCTAAAATTTCGGCCATCAGGCCCAACTCTTCAATGGGGCTTTCAACCTCCGGCGGAGTCGGCACGCCGCTTGATCCGTAACTGTCTTCCTCGGTCGATAGACTGGCACCAATCTCGCTAGAGATCATTGAGACTGGCCGCGTTGCAAGTTCCCGCGACCCCCCCGATCCGTGCCGACTATGCCGCCTAACGGCCAGGTCTCCAGAAACTGCCTGTTGCGGGTCCTGGGAGCTGCGAACGCCCTTTGCTCGTCGCCTCTGGAGATCCATGAGTGGCAATCCGCCAAAGGCTGTAGAGAAGGCCAGTTCCGTGGTACTGTTTCTGTGGTACTCCTGAGAAGAGCTCTCATCCGGCTCAGCTGCATTTTCATCATCAGACATGATTTGATTTCGCCGGAGAATTCGTCTCAAGTCTGACCCCGTTGTGTCCCATTCATCCTTCAACCGCTGCACTAGCGGCTTGCTGCTCCCATTCGCAATTTTATCCGACTTGAACCTGGAAATGACCGATGGCCGACGGACCGGTGCACCAGTTACGGCAGTCTCTACCGACTTGGACGTTGCCTTCTTGAGCTCTTCGGCAGAAAATGCGGAAAAGTATCGGGTGGTGGTGTTTTGGTCTAGGCAGGAGACGAGGTGTCGATAATTGGAAAGATTGAAATCATTTCCTTCGCAGTCGAGGGTGTGCAGAGTCTTGTTCTCCGAGATAGCCTCTGCCAAGTCGCCAATATTGATATTGAGCATCTGGCTGCGGACTCGAAGGTGCTCGATGCTCTCGTTGGTCTTCAAGCTAATGAGTGCCTTGGAAAATTCTCGCCCAAGCCTACCCTCGTCCAGCCTCGAATCGAAGCCAGAGATATCCAAAAAGCGAACCGTGCAATTCTTGGCAAAGAAATCTGCAATCGCTTGACAAGCCACACTACTGGCGGCGTCTGGCGTCGAGGTTCCGGCGAGGCTGAGACACTCGATCGACGTGTTGACCGTTAGGGCTCTGAGAAGCTTGATATAGTTGGCCTCCATGGCAAACTCAACCATTTGGACAAAGAGACACCAAGGGCCATGGCCTTCAGTAATGGCCATGCATAGATCATCCACTCCCTCATCCAGACGGCTGCCACCGACATAGAGCTCTACCGGCCTTGTTCGACCCATGGCATAGAAGAGCCGGGCAAGTTGCCCGCCGGTTAGCCCACAGTTGTTGAGGCGCATCGTATGAAGGCCCCTCGAACTAGCCGTCTGTAAATAATTCGACAAGACATCCACCGTGGCGTCGTTGAGCTGCGGTTCTGCATTAGCTAACAAACTTTGATGAGGAAAAATGCTCAGTTGGTTGGACTCGCCATGATACCGGAGAGATCCAGCTCCTGGAGATGCCAATCTTGCATGGTCAACTCGTCGAATAAAGACTCCTCTGACGTGATGCGGGTGTTTCCGGCAATGTCCAACTTGGAAAGCCTCCGCAATCCACTCAGGGTGCTTTGAATGATTTCGAACCGTACAACTCCCTGGTTGTTGGACGTGTCTATCCACTCCAGAGAATCCGTCTGGCCAGCAAGGCTAACCCATAACTTTGACAGTCCAGCATCACCTAGCGAACAATTGGACAGATCGATCCTACGAAGATGAACTTGGTCCAAGGTCAAGAGATCGGCTTTCCGAACTCAGTTAGCAGCCATTTCTTCACCACGCACCTGAGGGAAAGAAAATTTTACCTAATTCGTCCAGATCCTCGGGAGCAATTGGGTTGCCGGACAAGGAGATGCTGTGGCAAATGCAAAGCTGCCGTCGCCACAATTCTAAAAACGGTCGTAGGATCTCTGATGTCGCCTTGCTGAGACTTGTCAAGTCATATTGGTACCGACTCAGCCTATTTTTCTTGTTCCCTATACCCAATATATCGGACATGTCCAGACTTCGAATGGATTCTGATGCAAAGAGTAGGGCATGGATCTCCTGCTCCAAAATCGGTGACTGGAGAAGTATTTCGTGGTGTTCTTCAGATATCGTCACACCTAGAACATGGTCAGTAGAGGGATCATGGAAGTTTGATCAATGTGCCAGGTTCAGCTACGTACCGTTGAGGGATTTATAGGCAAGAGAATCCCCATACTTTGGCTTGTCGTTCCTTCCGGCAAGAGATGAAAGATCCACGCCACGAAAAGAGATAGCTTTGAAGAAGCTATTATATCGCAAGGCCCGGAAGACTGCAAGAAGCTGCATGGGAGAATAGGACCGGCCATCAGAGGGCAACAATCGAAAAGCGGGTTGGGGCGGAGGACTCCAATCAATGGTCCAATTCGGTACGCGAACTTGATACGCAGCACAGTATGCTTCCAAACTGCGCCTTAGGCCGCCAAGGTCATTCCCAGACGTCAGCTGAAGAGGGGGCGGAAGGCCTCTGATATCAAATATCACCTGCTGGAAATGCTGTGGCCACATCGGCTTCAGAATTCGATCGGCCTTGGTCAGTGTCTCGATGATACGCCGGTATTGGGAACTGGCGAGATCAACTCTCGTCTCGCGGCCAAACGGAGACCTAAAATTCTTAGCACCTGTAGAGCACGGCACGAATATCGCCTATTCCTGTACTTACCTGAAACACATGACAAATCGATGCTCATGTGACACCACAGAGGCTTTGAAACGAGTCAAGGTAACCGTGCCGTAGGAGATGGCCTTTACACGTAAATCGCCAGGGGGGGTCGCGTGGTCAGCCTTCAGGACCTCGACGAAATGGCACATACACGGTCCAATGATGAGGAAGAAGGACGAGATATCTGAGCTGTCGGGTGCGTCCTCGGTTGTGCTACCCTTGATGCCACCTCCAAAAACCCGTCGTGCAACTGGGAAGATGGTGCTTTGATACCCGGCGTCGGCGGATCCCTCAGAAGCTCGAACAATGTGGTCAATACGACTCCTCAAGTTATCCGATATCAATGCACTTCTGGATGACTTTCTCAGCTTTGCCCTGACTGCGCGATGGATTGAAGCCAGCCAAACGTCTCGCTCCCCGGGCAAGGCAAAATACAAGTGTGCCTTGGAGTAGGCCAGCTTCGGCCACGGCGAAAACCACCAGATTTCGATGCCGGATCGATTGCCGGTACTGTCTTCATTAAAGGCTGCAACAATTGAGCGGAGTGAAATTTCCAGACGCACATCGCCGGAAGACAGTTTGCCGGTCGCGTGGTGGCATGACGACGCGTTGTGGCCGTCGGAGGATGGCGCAAAGAGTTGCGGGAAAGCAACGCGGGCGGAGTCGCCATTGTTGAACTTTACCAAGACCTGATCCGACAAGACCAGATACTCAGATTTTGCTTTGAGAAGCGAAACATCTGCCTTGAGTGATCCACACTGAAGCACTTCCATTGCTGAGTAGGGTTGTAATTGCTCGGTTGGGCTTCCTGGGCGGTCGGCTGTGGGGGAGTCCTTGGAAACGCGTCTCTGAAGGCGATCGATCACGGAAGAGCTCGAAGACGGCGTCTTCTGCAGCTTGCGTATGGAATTGCTTCTGGTGGAAGTGGCGGTTATCGAGTCCATGCTCGAACTACTCAGCGACCGAAGCGCGCGGGTCAGGACCCGAGGAGCCTTGCTCTCCGTCGGTTGAGGCGGCGACTTGGCATCGTAGTAGCTGGTCGCTGGCGAGTTCAGAGAAAGGACCGAGGCCGACCTCCGTTTCCATCGCTCGACGTTCATGGCTGCGAAGCTGGGTTGCCAGAAACCAAGGTCTGGCGTTTCGTGCTTGATCTCTCACGGTTGCCAGACGATGTTTGTCCGTCGAAGGAGGTCTTAACAGACCATGGCGAGGAGGAGAGATGTGCAGTCTATTGCGAGCGGGAGGCGGGGCCAATGGCAATGGCAATGGCAATGTCAACTATGAAGCTGACGGCCGCCGTATCGACTCGACTCTGCTCCGGGGAAGCTCTTCACTTGATGGCTGGATGACGTGGAGTGGGTAGCCCAAGGAGCAGATGTCTCAGCCACAGGCTCCGTCTTGGAATTGAACAGGCTGCCAACGGCACGATGGTCAGAAGAGTCGTAGGATAGTTCAGCTCTAGTACAAGCGCACCCGCATCCGTCACTCCGGAAACAAAATCCCAGCACGCAGCAGGGAGCGGCGAGGAGAATGTCGTTACCCGTCGCGCGTTATCACACTTGGCATGGGCGCCTGGGCGGTGGCAAATTGTCAGCTCGGCACTCCGTACGGATACTCTGGAATGGCTTCCGTCCCAGCAAATCCCGGTCGACCTCCTGCGTACAGGGAGTTCAGGAACAAAAAGGTCCAAGAGTGAAGAAGGCGTGAGGCGACGGTGCTTGCGTGCCGCCTACTTGAGTATCCAAGAGAAATACTCCGTAGCCCCCTCCTGCCTAAAAGGACGCTTCGGATGGGAATGCAGGGAAAGAGCCAGGATGAGAGCCTGCTTGTTTGAATACAAGCAGTGGCTGGGTAAGAAGACAAAAGCGCATTAGCCAAGTAGAGAAGCAACCGACCTTGATGGAAACCAAATCCAAGCTATGGTTGAGATTACAGCACACCAGACGATGCAGTCCAAGTCGGCAGAGTGACCAAGGCCCGATCGCGTGATTAGCCCAGGGCCGAGACCTCGAATTGAAAACGGAAATAAAAGAGGGCGTACGCATTCATCCACACATGGGAAGACAGGCACGTGGAAGTGGAAGTGTAATTGAAAAATAAAAAACGGGGAAAGAGAGATGTCTTAAAGTTTCCCACCCAAACTTCAGTCCCAGAAACGACGCCAACCGAGATGGCACCGCCCAATGCTGGGCCGACCGAGGGTTTCCAGAATAGAAAGAGCAAGGAGGGCGAAGGAGGCTTGCTTGAATGTTCAGTCGCTCCCAAAACGGACACAGGCCGGGTGGTGGCTCAATCGCTCGGCTCTGGTTTCTTTGCACCGATGGTGCTCGTCGTTGACAATACGAAAGAAGACGGGACAAAGGCTGCGTGTGCATGTGCATGTGCAGTGCAGTCCAAGGCCAGGTCGACACCAGCGTGAGAAGCCAAGGACGAGAATGGAGGAGGATGGAAAAGGCAGGGGGTTGTCGTGGGACATCAAGCAGCAAGCGTCACAGGACAGGGCAAAGGCCCAGGGGAGAAGACGATATTTTTGGACCAGACGGACCAGGTCAAGGGCCCGTTTGTTTGGAGCCGGGCCTGGGGTTTACTGAAGCTCTCCCGACCAAGGACTCAAGGAGTCGAAACGCGACCAGGCCGGGCCACCTACAGGATAAATGCAACAACAAGACGATGGATGACGGCCGGCTTGCTTGTTCCAGCCTGCCTGCCATGCCAGCCTGGCCCGAGTCGCCTCCGTCGAAAACGACCAGCGACGGGGTGGCGAGTGGTGATTGTATTATACGGAGGTCAACCAGGCGTCACGTCATGGGCAAGGATGTTGCAGTGGCTTCTGCGATGGAGATTGAGGATTGAGATGGCGTCAAGCGGTAGCATGGATGGCATGGGACGGGGCGAACACAAGTGACAAGGCCCAAGCCTGAAAGTGAAAAGTGAAAAGTGAAAAGGGGGCGCGGCCAAGCCAAAGCCAGGCTCGACGACAGGGATCGTCATGTCCATGACCAAAAGTTGCCTTGACGTGTTGCCGTCCGGTCGACGAGCAGGCAACATGTAACATGTAGTCTAGTCTGCTACATATACTGGGCCGTCGACCATCTATTTCCAGCCATTGACCTTTTTTTTTTTTTTCCTTTCTCACGGAAGCTTCAACAGGGGCGGGGGGGAACACCCACACGCACACAGACCTTTGACTGACCTTGTGTAGATCTGGCAAGCGCCATTAGTTATTAGCGGGGCCACAACCAAATCATCAAAACCGACTCCTACCTCCTCCGCTCGTCCATCCCGTCGCAGCACCTCTCAGATCGAGAGCACCAAGTTGGCTGCGTATTATGTCGTATGTACTGTACGGTACGGTATTACATTTCTAGCCCAAAACCCGCCAGATAGCCTTTTTTAGCCTTGCATTGGCAGCATCGGTCCAATCTTTCCTTGTCCTCATATTTCACCAGGTGAGAATACCACAATATTACGCACATGGCTCGTTAAGGCTCTGCACTGTTCACCCAGGTCAGTCAGATCGACCTGCCAACATGCGTCCCCGACCGTCGCTTATACAGTACAGGTACGGAGTATAAGATTCCCCCTCACGAGTCTTCCCCCCTTGCGCCGTTTGGAAGACGTCTGTGGCCTACACCGGACCATTGCTGTTCGTGCTAGACAAGGGACAAACCCTAATCTGAGCCCATCGCCACAATCGACCCAAGTGCAAAGGTTAACGCCCAGGTGCTCGGGAGCATCACACGTGTATCAACTCAATTGATCCGTACAAAGGACTCTCCTTGCAGCGTACATACTTTAGAGGACAATGAGGGTTTCTACTCGTCCGCGAGTCGTGCGCCGCGAGGCACTCGCCAGTAAGGCTTCGCCATGGGTGTGCCGAATGCCTACCTCCATTGTACATACCTACAAAGGTTCATGATGGGTCTCCAGAAACGAACACGAAATACGTACATTGTGCCGTTCATCCGGCAATTTTCAATCCGAGAGGCCAAGGTGGGAAAATGTCCACCCCGCGAGCTCTACGGTGTCTTGGCGAAAGCACTAGTATTAATAGTATATTATTGCCAGTACACAAACACTAGTCAATTCACTAGGCCCATGGCAATGGGTCCGCCCAGGAATGGTCACGGCGCCGTTCGCATGCTATGAACTAATTGTGTAAGTTATCAAGTCTCGAGTCCCTACCCACCCGAGAAACTCGGACGACCAGACTAGACGCAGATATTCTACGACATGCTGCGGCTTTACCGACAAGGCTAGAGCCCGTATAAGCGAGATACTTGTCTTCAGCAGCACGCCCCCCGCATGATGGGGACGTGTGGTCGGCGCCAGTACAAGTCGTATTTGTGGGCTTGCGCCTTGCAGCCACGGACGGTGAATGTTGGCAATCGGACCTCGGATCCTTCGTCTGGCTCAACAAACTACATGGAAACCCTGTGTCAAAGTGGGAGGCTTAGCATGATGAAAGAATAGTTTTCATATTCTTCTAGCAACAGATTTATTTCAATCCTCAAGGGCAAAAAACATGGCGAAGGTGCCGCAGATGAGATAACGGATCATGAGATACGTCACTCAGCCTAGCTCGTAAAGAAGCTTCAGCCTCTGGTTCAGTCTGCCACATATGGTGTCCTGGACAACCAACCCCACGATTGCTGGAACGTAGCCACACATTGACCCAAGTAACTACAATGGCATTAGGTCCGGGCTGGGCTTTAGTTCGGAGCATCTCGCCTGCTGTTTGCCTAAGAAGTTAGCTGCATGCGGTCCGTAAGCACCCACTGACAAAGTAGTGTCTCACTGGACAGATAAGTATGACGTTGCTCGGTCCAGGTGCCGGATCTTTGTTGCCCCGACCCGGACGGCAAGACGCAGCCACAACGCAGCCGCAGCCGCCCTTCCATTAGCCACAGGCAACATGTCTACCTAGGTACTCCGTACTCCGGGTCGGCAGACACAATTAGCTAGAAGACTTGGAGCCCACGTACCTACAGACTACAGTGGGCCCGCATGCATGCCGAGGGTCGGACGTCCAATCATTCTCGGCTCGGCAAAAATTCGCCGCGTCGCGCCGACTTGCCGTCCCAGCCAACGGCTTTACTAGAATCTCCCAACTTCGTGGGAGCGTCATCACAGGCACAGCTGACGGGCTCGCCATTGTCCACTCGGTCTGCAGATTGGAATTCGCAAGTGACGGCTGCGGCCCAATTGACATCGACTCTCATCTTTTGCGAATTTGCTCTCGCGCAAGCTCAGTTGCTGCGGACCCAGGCAGCACTGCTCGCGGCTCCTCTGCACGCCCGGCACCCCCCCTTGGTGGCTTTTTTTTTGTGTGTGCGTTTGTGTGTGTTTTGTTGCATCTCCGTCGTCGTCGTATCACAACTAATCAGTTCCGTCACCGCTTGGTTGGGAAGCTTGGGACTCCAGATTGACCACAGTTGCCACGCATCATGGCTTCCAACACCAAGGATTCGTTGCTCTCGCGCCACTACATCGACTATGTCTATATCCCGGCCGTCCTCCTCGTCGTCGGCACCCTGATTGTCAAGAGAGATTGGGCTCCGTACTCTGTTGCCCTGGCGCTGGCGCTGGGTGCCTACAACTTTTGGAACTTCCGTGAGTATAAAGAGACATGCCTCGTCGGGTGTGTGCGACTACTGACCCTTGTGGCTCACAGAGATCAAGAAGGTGCTCAAACCCGATGTTTTCCAGGAATTCGAGCTCCAGGAGAAGACGGTCATCTCTCACAATGTCGCCATGTAAGCAAGGTTGCGCCATTTTTGCTTCCGTCTCCCCAGCCACAAGCCAGCCAGCCAGCCAGCCAGCCAGCTCCTTGGCCGTGTTAATCCTCATCAACCACCCGAGAAAGCTAACGTCTACGCAGCTACCGCTTCAAGCTCCCCTCGTCCAAGTCCATCCTCGGCCTCCCCATCGGCCAGCACATCTCGATCGGCGCCCCTATCAAGCAGGAAGATGGCACCGTCAAGGAGATTGTGCGCTCCTACACCCCCATCTCCGGCGACCACCAGCCCGGCTACTTTGATCTCCTGATCAAGTCCTATCCCCAGGGCAACATCTCCAAGCACATGGCGTCCCTCACGGTCGGCCAGGCCATCCGCGTCCGTGGCCCCAAGGGCGCCTTCGTCTACACTCCCAACATGGTCCGCCACTTTGGCATGATCGCCGGCGGCACGGGCATCACCCCCATGCTCCAGATCATCCGCGCCATTGTCCGTGGCCGCCCCGACGGCGACAAGACGCTCGTCGACCTGATCTTTGCCAACGTGACGCCCCAGGACATTCTCCTGAGAGAGGACCTCGACGCCCTGACCAAGGACGACAGCGGCATCCGCGTCCACTACGTCCTGGACAACCCCCCCGAGGGCTGGACCGGCGGCGTCGGCTACGTCACCGGCGACATGATCACCGTGCGTACACTTCACTCCCCGTTGCTTCCTGCATCGCCACTAACTCCCGTGGTCAGAAATGGCTCCCCAAGCCCGCCGACGACGTCAAGATTCTCGTCTGCGGTCCTCCCCCGATGGTGAGCGGCTTGAAGAAGACCACCGAGAGCCTGGGATACAAGAAGGCCCGTCCCGTCAGCAAGCTCGAGGACCAGGTCTTTGCGTTTTAAAGCCTTCGCTCGCCCGAGTCAAATCTGAGCACCCTTGTTTGCGAAACCGGCTAGAATCACTTGTTATTTCCTTGTGCCATTTTCTCGCCTGCTCCTTCTATTTGCAATACGATAGACAATTCTGTAGACCTAGACCGGTTGTGAAACTAAAGTATACCCTATGTCTAAATTGTACAGCCAGGGAGGGGGGAGAAGTAGAGCGTTCAGGAAATCTGCAATGCTCCCGGCCAGGAGGAGAGAGCATTGGGCAAAGGCGGTGGCAGGTCGATGGCGAGAATCACGGCCCTCGTTATCCGTGTACGGCGCTGTACGTACAAACACAAGGGCTGCACATGGCAATACTGTACAATTTTCTGTCCCCGGTATACCATCACTTGCTCCAGCTGTCTCGCGTACAGCTAGCTATCAAGTGCGTTGAAGCTAATTCTCCCTTGCTTCCCGTTGGTTTTGAATACAGAAGCACACAAGTCCTGGTGCACATTAACCCTGCCCTGTCGTATATAAATAAAGGACATGATCCTATTCCTCCTCGTCGCTCTCCTCTACAACCCTCCCTCTTCTCGAACGCTTGGCCTGATGGGCAGCGGTGTCGTCATCTTCATCCTCGCCGCCGCTACGAGCAGGGGCATCATCCTCATCCACATCCATCCTATCGGCTGTCATGTCATCATCGCCTTCCGACGCGGGCGTTGCGTCACGCTCCATTTCCCTCTCTGCCTGTTCCAAAGCATCGTCCTCACCTCCCGGCTCGTCATCGCTGTCGACAACAATCTCCGCCGACTTGAATTTGGACGACTCCTTCTTCGTGAGACGCCTCCGTTTCTTGGTACGCGACTCGTCCTCTGAATCGTCCTCGTCACGGTCCACCGTCTTCTTCTTAGCTGCCTTCTTGGTTCTCCCTTCGCCAGCGCGCGCTGCCGACCTGCTCTTCCGCTTCACCTTTTCACCCGTCTCGGCGTCGGTGGTCATTTCCGCCTCCAGCCTCTGGCGTTCCTCTTCCGCGCGTTGTTCGGCGAGGGCTCGGTCCCGGATAGCGATAGCCTCTCGCTCCTTGCGAATCTTTTCTTGGCGCTCCCGCTCCTTTTCGAGGATTTCTTGGCGCTTCTCCTCGCGGCGCTTGAGTTCGGCCTCACGTTGCTCCTTGGCTGCCTGGATCTTTTCCTTGTTCTTCTCCTCCCATTCCTTTTGTTTCGCGATGGCTCGCTCGAGCTGTTTGCGGAGCGTGTTGCGTGCCATGTTGGCACGTTGTTCAATGTCGTGCTTGGGGTAAGGAGTTTGAGGGAGCGTGGCAATGGTGTCTAGTGATTCAATGGCGGCTTCGAGGCCAGCCGCGGCTGTCTCAAGTTGCTCAGCGGTTCTTCTATTCTCGGGCAGGTTCTGGATCGTGGTGACGAGCTGGATTTGCACAAAGGCCACGTTGAACTTGTAGTGCACTTGATCCGGTGCAACTTCGAGAGCCTAGGTTGGATGCTGTTAGCCAGGGAACCAATCGACCACCCGTTGCGTTTTGTCGATGTCAAGTTCGCTTACCTGTTGCGCGCACTCGAGGGCCTTGGTGTAGGCGTCAATGTCCCTCTCTGAGCGACCTCTGTTCAACCATGTGCGACCCAGACATGACAAAATGACTGGGTCATTGGCTTTTCCCTCCTTGGTAAGAGCGATTTCGTAGTGCTCAATTGCTTTGGAGTACTGTCTTAGTTCCGCGTAGACGTGACCCAGATTGACATACACATGAGGCTCTCTCACTGTTTCCCGAACCTTATTGAGGATCGTGAGGGCGCTCTTGTAGTCCTTCTTATCTTCCACCAACGCGATAGCGACACCCTGAGCAGCATAGGCGTTTTTGGGATCAAGTGAAAGAGCCTTTTCGAAGAACTCCACGGCCTTGCCATAGATGACGCTTCGCTTCTGCTTGTCTGCCTCCGTCTCGCGTCGCATCTCTCTGGCTTGCAGCAAATAAAGGTTGCCCATGCCGATGAGAGCATAACGATCATGCTTGTCATAGTTTTGCAAGGTGTGCTTGTAATGACGGAATTCCGGGTCCTCCACAATGTTGGCTGGCCGCTTTCTAGAGTGTACCTTGCCAAGATACCAACCGTACAGAGCTCGAACTTCCAAGTCACTTGTGTTTTCCTGATACAGCTTGGCGACAGCATCTGGGCCGTCCTTGTTAGGGTTCTTTCGCAGTTTAATGTACGCCAATCTGGTGCGAGCATCCGTGTAATCGTCATGGCGAGCGAGCAGGCCTTCATAAACCTCCATCGCCTTGTCCGCCAAACCTCTTGACTCGTAGCTTCGGCCGAGGTTGAAACTAATGCTGGAGACTAGTGCGTCTGTGTCCATGCTGGGTTCCTTGACGCCGATTCTCATACATGCGCTCAGGGCAGCCTCAAACATCTCGCTGGCCAGCTCGTGCTTCTCGGCTTGGTAATGGAAGCAACCAATGTTGTTCAGAAGCTGAGGGGGGAGAAGCTTTCTTCTCTCTATCTGTGCGGCCGCCTCATCTTCTATATCTGTGCGTCGCTCTGACTTTGGTATTTGGTCAAATTCAAGCTGTTCGACCTGCTGGAGACAGTGGAAGGCCTTTTCGGGTTGGTCCAGCTCATATAAACGCGCCAGGTTCAGCAAGACGGAGGCATCTGGAGCAACCGTCCGTTTGGGATCTTTCCAGGCATTCCGGACGCCCTCTAGGAGTGTGATGGCCTTCTTCATCTCAGCAGACTTGTCTTCTTTGCTATCGCTCTTTTGACCTGCAAAGATTTCTTCAGCATAGAGTGTTCCCAGCAAGATCATGGCTTCATGGTTCTTGGATTGCTGAATCATCTTCTCAAGAAGAAGCTTGGCTTCACCGAGATCATTCTTCAGAACAGATAATTGAGCCACACCAAACTTGGCCGGCAGGTATCCTATGTCCGCACCTCCGCGTGCATCGTCGGCACGACGGTAATAATCGCTGGCTTTTTCGGCATCTTCGTTGTAATGGGCTTTTCTCGCGAGCAGATACCAACCATCGCTGGCAATGGCGTTGACATCTGTATATTGAATAGCTTTGTGGGCTAGTTTATCTGCATTTTCCCAGGCTTTTCTTGACAGAAAGTATCCAGCGAAAGTAGAGCAAGTGATGGGGACGTCTTTGTCCAGCTTGAATGATTTCTGTGTATACTCTGTCATGGCTTTTCTGTATAATTTTAAGAAATCATCACTGTTGACAGGCACATGGCCGCTGGCGTCGAGATAGAAGAGACCGAGCAGGATATTGGCAATCTTGGATTCGGGGTTGATTTCCAAGCTTCGCTCCCATGCCACCTTGGCGTCCTCCTTAAAGCCGAGTTGCCAGAAGCAACATCCAATGCCGATTCGTGGATCAGGGTCTACCAAATCAGGCATCTTGTGAAGAACATCCTGGTAGGTTGCCAAGGCATCAGGATATTTGTGCAAAGAGAAGTAGGCTCTTGCCTTGCCCATAAGAGCAAGCATATTTTTGCCCTGGGATACTCGAAGCGCGTCATCAAAGGATTTTACTGCTGTCTTTAGCAATTCGTTCTTTTCAGAGCCGATTCCTCCAGCTGTCTTTGCAGGGGCCTGTAGGGACGCCCGCAAGAGCAGCAAAACACCACGGGCGAGAAAAATTGGCGGGAACGAGGGGTTCAGCCGGGCAGCGTCGTTCAACGATGCAGTGGCCAACTGGAGGTAATATTCTTTCGTCTTGGCCTCGGAAACTCGCACACCGTCGGGCGCAACACGCGGGGCCTCGCGGCTCTTCCATAGATACATCCAGCACAAGCAGCAAATCATGCTGACCTTATCGCGTGGGTTGCTGCTCTGGATGGCGCCGCTGCCACGTATGAGCATTTCAATAGCATGGTCAATCTTTTTCTGCTTCGCATACGCAAGCGCAACCGTCATCCAGTAGGTTTTGGCGGCTCTTTCGTTTTCAAATAGAGTGCAGAGTTCGGTAGGGTCGTCCAAGAGATCTTCGAGATCAATTTCGACAGCTTCATCCTCCTGGTCTCCTTGAACTGGAATATCGATGGCGGAAGGGATATCTGAAAATCGAGTGCTGGCAGGCCCGGCTGGTCGATCGCCATTGGGCAGACCATTGGCCGCTCCATTGGTAATGGCAGCCATCTCGGCCAGTGTCGCTGGGGATGTGATGTCCAGTGAGAGGGCGAGCGAGGGTTGGAGGAGGAAGACACGAGCGCGTCTCTGGTCAGCTAGTTGTGCGCCTCGAAAGAATGAAATGCGCAGACCATCAGTCGCCTTGTCAGTCAGAAACCATGGCCATAAAACTTCAATACCGGCTGCCAGCAACGGGCGACACGGGGGAAAGGAATAAAAAAAAAAAAAAAAGAACAGCACGACCTTGCAAGATGGATAGATTGTCTGTCAGTCGCTGCCACTGGGCTGGATGGAGGTGGAGGACTGGAAATTGCATGTACAAAGCAGTGGCGTTGCGCTCGAAAAAAGAGAGGTGGCCCGTGCACGGCCGCGTCCGTCAATACACCAAGTACTCCGTACAAGTAAAGTATGTTCCTGCGTCCGGCCACCACACGTTTTCAATGTCAGGACTTCAAGTATGAAAGAGAATGAACCATTTATATACCCGGACTGTCATTTTTCTTTTAGTGGTACTACATGCCGCCCGATAAGTGTCGAGAGTCTGCAGTATGAAGCCAGCCGGTGCCTCGTTAGCTCAGGAACTGAAAGCCGACAGCCTCCAAAATATCGACGTACCTCGCCATGGTAATTCGTGCCTGAGTTATGCTCATAGGTGTCTGCTTTGGTTCAAGGATTCCATCACTTATTTGCCCGGGTCTTGGTAGAGCTGCTGTCTTGAACTGGTCTCTGCTTCGTGCTATCCTCGTTTCACATGCCAGGTGAGGCTTTACAAATGTAAAGGGAAGCAGGATGAGTGACGAATGATGGTAGCAAAATCCCACGTGCAGAGAATCAATTTGCCAGCTGGCCGACCTGCTCGCTTCATATCTGACTCTCTACCTACCTGACCTGACCTGACCTGACAAGTTCATCCAAACAACTGCCATGGCCTACCTACTTGAGAAGTCTGCCTGTCATCTGTCTGCCCCCTGGTCTTGCTATTCGTCAACTAAACAATGCCGACGACATCAACTTCGATCCTATCGCGCAGCGCAGGATGCATCAGATGGGAATGCCTCACAATTGCCCAACGTTTGGGTGTTGCCCTGGGTGCCGTAGTTCTATTTCTCGTCGTCTCACTGGTCTACATGTACAGCTTGGGCCGTGCTTGTGTGGCCAACAAAGAAAGGAAATCACATGGCATCACAAAACAAGGAAACACTTGCGGCTGGAGTCATGGACTTCCTGTCAGCGTCTCGGCTCAGATGTCAACTGCGCAAAACCAACTCATAGCATGGCAAGCCGTAGCCAGTCACCAGCTGCCCAATTTCACGTTTCCGCCGCCTCCCGTTTTTTATCACGGCATGCCTTTGGTGCCGTCCACGTATCAACAATATCCGAGCCAATATTCGGCTCGATATCAGCAGACTAACATGGCCGGTGGTTCAGCTCCGCCAACACGACAGCCATGCCGCCAGACAAGACACTCCTGTACCGCAGTGAGGACTCGTGCAGAGTCCCCGGAGTGGCTTCGTCGGTTGAATCAGACATTACCGGCTTCGACTGGAAAGGCATCGACGATCCAAACGGACTCGGGTCCAGAGAGCCCGGTCAGCGTTCACCACCGTCAATCCGCATCCAGACGAGACACCATTGATCCAAGTCAATGTTCACGCAAGAAAAGTCAAACCAAGAGAGAGCGACGACGACGTGGAGAAGAGAAGACGCAGGACCATGGGTTCGAAGATCCAGAAGCAGCATCTATCCGATCAAACGCGGCAACTGTATACAGCGATGATTTTCAAATTATTGGCCCTGCGTCTTCCGTTAAAGCCAGTCAGGTATGTCTCGGGTGAGTCGGTGGGCAGGCTGCTGAAAGTCTTGACGCAGGTTTCATCTACGCAGAAGTAGTCAAAGCGAAGATCGACGCCGGCCATCGATGTCACAGCAATGCGGCACCTTTGTCTTCCCAAGCGCATAGTCTGTGGTAAGCGTTGTCGGCGAGTAGAGAGGAGGCCATTTGGTTCTGCCGTCAACCTGGCTATCGACCGTCGAGGATGTTTTCACATTTGACAAGGTTTGAGATGCTCAGAGAGAGAGAGAGAGAGAGCATGTATATCGTTGGGGATGAAGAATACAGGCCGGCGTATGCGGGCAGTCTTGCAGAGGCGTGGCTGCGTACATACAAGAGATACCTGTTGAGAAGGAATGGTAGAGATGAACCGTCGTTAGGAACTACGAGGTGCCAGTTGTGCAAGCGGGCTCGAGCTGTCGGCCGACGAGAATACTACTTACTTAGCTATGCACTTCCCTGGTTGACAGGCACGGAGTTTCGTGAGTTGCGTTTTACAATGCCAAATGCTGGCGCTTGGTGGTGACGGATGTGGTCCGTGCACGACCTTTCGTCATCGCTGCCAGCTGCTTGGAGCAACCAAGCAATCCCTCAAGTACCCAGGTGAGTACTTCGTAAGCAAGGTACTAGAGTACGAGGTACCTGTGCCCTCCCCGATGGAGGAGGCCAGCCACAGGTACTTGGACCTAGTTCCTGGGTACTTGGACGATGGGTCGCAGGTACCAAGTACGGCCGGCATGAAGCTGCAGAACCTCCAATGTCGAAACTGGCACACATGCGGCAGTAGCAAGTCAAGTCGACCGGTCTGAATCCGCCACGCCCCACGCTGCCCTCAAAGTGCGCCTCATCTCCATCATCTCCCCATCTCCTTGGCCTTGTTCATTTGCTTCCTACCCCCGATTTGTTCCCAACATAGAATGGCGAGACGCTGCGAGACGTCTTGCAAGCACTATTAAGCTAGCTATTGACCAGCCAACCCTTCCTGAGCAGCTAGCCTCGCCCAACCCTCCACCGACTGACCGCGCCGTGCCCTCCTTCAGCCTTCAGAGCCTGGTTCCCCGCGACTGCCGGTTCCCTTGCTCGGAGCTCCTTGCGCTACTTGTTGCAGATTGCGGCCTTTCACCATTCAATCGCGCTGCCGTCTCGAGCGCGGAACAGCTTCGCCTGCTGCCTCAGCAGAGAAATTATACTGGAGCAAGCTCACCATGTGGAACGACGAGGATAACAACCCCTACGGGACCAGCTTCGACCGCCGCGACTCGCAGACGTCATCCTCCATAAATCCGGCGTCGCCATCTTCTCGAGATTGTGAGTACGATCAGGCGTGCCTCAAATTGCGACGACAACTTCGTGGCCCCCCTCGGCGTGGATCGCGGGTGCATGTCGCCTTGTTTGAACATTCTTGCTTACAAGCTTACCTTAGACCGATCCTTCGACGCTCCCCGAACCCCAACGTCAGGCAGCGAAGATGATGAGCCAATCTTTAGCCAAGCGACTGCTGGCCCCCGGCATGAGAGTCACGATCATGCGGCGCCTCCAGACGAGCCCGTTCAAAAGAGAAAGCCTGGGGGCTATACAAGCCGCATCGAACAGATACTATACGAAAACCCAAGCATGCCCATCTTGATCACGGATGCGGGCAAGAGTTTGGAAAGCGGAGGTCGATACATAGTGTACACTATCCGAACCGGGGTACGACTGACATGTAACATCCGGACTGATACTGGAGCTGGACTAACATTTGCAACTAAAAAAATAAAAAATACAGGATCTAGAAGTTCGACGACGTTACTCCGAATTCGCGTCACTCAGAGACGCTCTGACTCGATTGCACCCCACTCTCATTATTCCGCCGATTCCTGAAAAACACACCATGGCAGACTACGCTGCCAAGCCAACCAGTGCCAAGCAGGATCAGCAGATAATTGACCTTCGAAAGCGAATGTTGGCAGTCTTCTTGAATCGCTGTCGCCGTATGGAAGCAATCCGAGACGATGGTGTATGGTGGCGGTTTCTCGACCCGAATGCTAGCTGGGTATGAGCAGCTGATCGCTCCCACATCAGCCGTGACATAGCTAATCTCATCCATAGAGCGAGGTACTACATTCACATCCCATATCTTCCATTCCCAAGGCCATTCTCAAGGCTCCTCCATTGGACACAGCGAATCCAACACCGGCACATAATTTCCTTCCGGTGCCTTCCACCTCAGCCAAGCTCAAGACAACAGCCGGCGCGACTTATGACATCAATCCCTCAGTACCACAAACCGGGACACATGTCATAGGCCGCTTCCCTCCGGATTCTACGACGCAGAACGAACACGATCTGGACCCTTACTTCATATCTTACGAGGCTTCCATCAAGGAACTCGAGCAACTTCTCATGGGACCCATGGAGAAAGTCAATCGCCGAACTCTTTCTCATCTTTCATCCCTTGCGGCAGATCTTTGCGAGCTAGGCTCGCGTTACAATGCATTTGCCTTGTCTGAGCAGGCTCCTTCACTGGGTCCTGCAATTGAGCGAATCGGCCAGGCGGCTGACTTGTCGTATATTGCCACCGAGGAGTTAGCCGGGTCCCTTGGCGCAAGCTTCGCCGAGCCAATGAGAGAAAATGCCCAATTTGCTGGTGTCGTCAAGAGCGTGCTCAGATACAGAGTACTGAAAAGAGTTCAGCAGGATCTCACGACAGAAGAACTGGCTAAGAAGAGGGGACTGTTGGAGCAGCTGGAACAAAGCGAGACGGAAGCGAGGCGAATCGAACAATACCTGTCCAGCAGCCAGCAACAATCCCTCCCGCCGAAGCGATCCACGAGTCTAAAAGAGCCGTCGTCTCAGCATAGGCGCGATACGGGACAAGACGACACCGAATCCATCGACTCAGACTTTCCTCCAACTCATGGGGATTTCTCCTCGCCGACGCCATCCGCCAGCCAGGGCCTCCCTGAGCGTAGCGCCAGTGTGTCTCATAAGAAAGCACCTAGCAGTAACTCCATCACGAACAAAATATTCGGGCCTCTGCGACACGCTATACAGGGGGTCGCAGATGTTGATCCTGAGCGGACGCGACGCGACACCATCGGTAAAACCCGAGAATCGATTGCCCAATTAGAGAAGGCTCAAATAGTTTCAGAACGGGATGTTAAGGAGGCGAGCGCGAGTGTATTAAGAGACTTGAAGAGATTCCAGAAAGACAAGGAAGACGATCTCAAGCGGTACATGGTATGTGCAAATCGCAAAAATTACGCAAACATCAGAAGCTTACCCTCCCCCTCCAGCTAGCATATGCAAAGAGCCAAATTGAATGGGCCAAGAAGAGCAAACAACAATGGGAAGAGGCACGGACAGAAGTTGACAAGATAGATGAAAATTAACCGTGCTTGGTGCGTTCGCATCGTGAGTGTGGAAGCACATCTGGGGAATGGGAGCTGCTCTGGCATAGTCAGCCCCTTCTGAGGTAAAGAGCCCAGGAGCTTAATGTAGATATCTAAATTTGCGACGTTCGATGAAGCCCCTAGCCGATGACATCAGAGACAGCTTACCGGAATAGAGGCTTAAGATGTCAAGAGGGTGAGGTCAGGTTGATGATGATTCAAATATGGTTCCTGCATTTGTCAAGCGGCCAAGCATGATTCAGTCAATCACGCGCATTCACACATGGTGCGGTGCACTACCATATACACCAGTATACTAGAGACGTATTTGACGATGAGCCTGTCTTTGAGTGTACTTTGATCTTTTTTCCTTTTTTTTCTTTTCTTTTTTTTTTCATTTATGTTTTTTTAATTGGCGGCTTATCGATAAGCTCACGAGTCATGATTCATCCACCCCCAAGATCCGCGGATGCGACCACCTACTGAAGTACTGAACTCTTTCCTTCCGTCCTTCTGTACCTGGAGAGCACAGCTACCCGTCCGGCTGCATATTTCTGTGTAGCGTCATGGGACCGTACACGAGCCGTATTTGAACCGTCTTTGCTTACGCGATCGAATCAATTGACACTCCCGCGCTCGTCTCGTCTGCCTGGGCCGTTGGCACTCGACACCACTGGGCCAGCTGTCCGTCATCAAAATCGCACACCACCTTTTTGCGCCAACCGCACGCACATCAGCAACCATGGAGCAGCCGGCTGATGGACCGATCCAGTCGATAGCAGAACCTGGTGTGAAAGCTTCGGGCCCTCTTCTCTACTCCATGAGAAAGGAAGTGGCCGATCTGCTGGGAAGGCACCAGATGGGATTCCCTGGAGCTCAGCCAGTTAGTTTCGCGAGACAACATCTCGACGAGCTACAAAAACAAGAGTGCGATGCCAACCATCCATCCAGAGACACCAAAGCCTGCCTGTGCGATCGCATGCACTAACCGCGATGATGTAGCTACTATGTCTGCGAAAAATCGGACGGTATTCGATACCTGCTTTACTTGACCTCGGATGAAGAAGCCTGCGAGGCGCACTACCTCATCGACCGCAAAAATGACTACTGGTTCATCACCAACAGAAATCTTCATTTCCCGCTCGAGAACAACACGCAAGCTTTTCATCGAGACACCCTCGTAGATGGCGAACTCGTCTGGGACAGCCTACCCAATGGAAAGAAGGAACCGCGCTTCCTTGTGTTTGACTGCCTCGTCATGGATGGGAACAAGCTTATGGACAGGACCCTCGATAAACGACTAGCATACTTCAAGGAGAGGCTGTATACGCCCTATAAAAAGCTGTTCAAGGAGTATCCCGACGAGCTGAAATTTCAGCCCTTCTTTGTAGAGATGAAGCCGTTTCAGCTGGGCTACGGGATTGAGATGATGTTCAAGCAGGTCCTTCCAAGCCTGAAGCACGGCAACGACGGACTGATATTCACCTGTCGCAACACGGCGTACAAGCACGGCACAGACCCCCACATCCTTAAGTGGAAGCCTCCAGAGGAAAACACGATTGATTTCCGGCTCAAGCTGGCGTTCCCCCTGGTTGAGCCCGATGAATGGGAGAGAAAGGACGGCATCACGGAACCCTTTATCGACTACGACAGTGTCCCAAAGTCCGAGCTGCTCATGTATCTGGGGGAGGGTGGTGACAAGTACCAGCGCTTTGCGGATCTGTACTTGACCGAGGAGGAGTGGGAGACGCTCAAGGGTCTGAACGATCCACTAGACGAACGCATCATCGAGTGTAATCAGGATGACCAGGGACGCTGGCGACTGCTCCGCTTCAGGGATGACAAGCATGAGGCGAACCACAAGAGCACAGTGCTCAGTGTCCTGGAGAGCATCAACGATCGCGTCTCGGAGAAGGATCTGTATCGAGCTGCTGGCCCCATACGAGATAGCTGGAAGGCGAGACAAGCTCGCTCTACTCAGGTTCGTGAGCGATAGCCACGTGATCACGGGTCAAGTCGACAAGTTTGAGGGTGTCGCAGATGAGTGATTGCGATGTGGGGGGGGAGGGTATGTCTTGTAGCGCAGCAGGGCTCATGGTTGGGTCGATTGTATGGCGTTTGGTAGAATTGCGATTCGATCCGTCTATGTTTTTACGAGCGTATGTTTTCTACGAGCGTGGCAGATTTGCTTTCCTTCTATACATACATGTATTTTTAAGCCCGCCGTCAACTCGGTAAGTGCGGCTGTACTGCTGCCGCTGCTTGAGAACCGTCGATTTTGACCATTTCCAACAACATGAATGGGTGATTGTTTGAGAGTGCATCATGTACCATTTATTGATCCTCGGTTAGTCTCCGGTTGCCATATTATCTAACCATCCAGATTTCGCGTACACAAAATGGAACGGTTTGATTTACCCTGTCTCTCTGTCTCTCTCTGTCTCTCCCCTCCCCCAGTTGAGCATTTTTCTTTTCGGAAAAAAAGGAGGGGAGGAGGGCACTGGCATCTTCAAAAGCAGGAATCCGTCGCCAGGTACCTACCCCTGAGCCCTGGCCCTGGCAGAGTCAGAGCAATCTTCTTGCCCTCGCCCGCATCGCATCGCATCACACATCACATCACATCAACTTTGCCCAAAATGGAATCCGAAAAAAATAAAAATAAAAATAAAAAAAAGAAAGGAAGAGGAAAGGGAAAAGTAGGAAAAAAAAATAAAGACCAAACATTCGCACTATCCTTCTGTAGCCAACCATTGCGGTGCAAAACCCAAGCCCCCGGGAACCCTTACAGTAGGAACGTCAAGATGGCGACGAGCATGACTGTGCAGGCGACGTTGCTACCGCCGTTGCTGCCGCCCCAGGCTTTCGGCTCTGGGCGTTTACTCCCGTCGGAGACGATGACGACGGACGGGGCAGCGCTCGAGGCGGAGGACGTGTTGTAGCTCGTGTAAGCTGGGGGCAGGACGTCGACGGTGGTGGTCTCGATGGCCGGTGGTCCGCCGGTTTCAGTGACAAACTCGGTGTAGGTGCTTGTCGGGGAGGGACCCGAGGTAGAGGTCGCCTCGCCTGCGACTTCTGAGGAAGCGCTTGGGGTTGGGGCCGGGTAGGACAGTGTGATGGTGACCTGGGAATAAACGACGGTTGTCAGGGTAGAGAGGCTGACGTGCCCGGACTCGACGGAGGTGTCGGCGGGCGGCGCAGAGCCCCAGAGATTGGAGATGGTGACGGTTGTGAAGGGGGATGCGTAGGTGCTGGGTAGGGACCAGCTCCAGCTGGTCTCTACGTCTGTCACGGTCGAAGCTTCCCCCGAGACGGTGGCATCTGGGAGGCCCGTGGTGACGGAGACGTCGGTCTGGATGGCGGTGTAGGTGGACGGGTTCCCGGAGAGAGTCACGTCCGGAAGCCGGGTGGTGTAGGAAACGTCTGTGCTGGCTTCGGTGACGGTGGAAGCTCCCGCGGTGATGGTCACGTCTGGGGCAGGATACACGGTGACGGTGACGGTGACGGTCTCTGTGGTTTCTCCGTGGCAGGTCTCCTGGCTCTTGGTGTTGTCGCTGTACTGGTCTGGAGACACGGTGACGGTTACAGTGCTGGTGGTGGTGCTGGTCAAAGTGCGTTCTTCAGAGGTGTTTCTGGCGGTGGAAGGGGCAGTTTGAGTCCTGTGAGTTGCGTTTATTCGTTAGGCAGTTGTTGGCATGTTGCCCACGGGGGATTTGGGCCCAAACTTACGACGCCGGGGTGCTTTCACCAGTGGACTCTGACGTGGATCCGGCAGAAGCAGTAGTCGCTGCCTGAGAGACTTCTGTCACGAGGTGAGATGCAGACATGGTCCCTGAAAACCCAAGACCTCTTGCAGTCATGGCGTCGGCGACAGGTTGAAACAGATCGGCCGTCTCGTTGCATTCACCGCGGATGGCAAGCCGGTGAGCCGCCTTGGAAACGACATGTTCGGCTTGAATGAGTTCATCGGGACCACGGAGAGATGGCATCGGATCTTGAGCATAGCGATCAGCTGGTGTTCCCTGATTGCAAAGAATTCAATCTTCTTGCGAGCCGAGGACGCGATCCGAGGACACGATACGGTCATCTTACTAAAGAGAGTAGTGACGACGATGAACACAGCAGCCAAAGCCATCAGCCCCCAGCCCAAGTACGTGAGAATCCAGAGAGGCTTAAGCAATCTGCGGAACACCCCCTCCCGCGACAGGGAGGATGAACGAGGCAGCTCTCTGAATTCGCAGTCCTTCATGGCAGCCACTCTGGGACCTTTGTTAGTCGATGTGGTCCAAAATATGCCACGATGAGGCGAACTGACGTTCAAAGTAGGATGGGTTTCGTAAAAAGAGTGATTCCAGTGACTTGAGGTCTTTAAAGGCGTGAGTCCGTTTGAAAAGCGAGGGTGCTTCGAAGGCTGGGACTCGACAGTTTGCTTGCCGTCTCCGTGCTATGTGACACAGCGGCGTCTCAAAGCAAACAACTAGGGGATGGTAAGGTGGCCACACAGATTACGCACGAGAATATCGAGAGGCAGCAGATTATGCAAGATGCTTGGGAGCGGGAAAGGAGCTGCTACAGTCTCTTGCGAGACGAGACGAGGCGATAAAAACGAATGTGGAAGTTGGGCTCTGTTGTGAAGGAATGTGTTGAGGGAGGAGGTGAGCAAGCAAAAGGACGAAGTTTCGGTATTTATTATATAAAGCAAAATCTCGCGTAGGATGAAAATGTGAGAGAAATGTGAACGCTCAGGATTTGGGAACCGACGGTTCGTCACAGTTGGCAGATCAGAGATTGGCAGCTGGCAAGGCTGTGAACGAATCAAGCCGAGGCCGGGGCTACACACAGGCAGATGAGCAAGTGTTTGTTTAACAGTTATTTTTATGCAGATGAGATGTGAATCAATGAAAGCCGGGCACGAGAGTGTCAACGTCCTTGACCATGAACCCAACACGACGAATGACTTGGAATAGGCGGCTGAGTCTGGAGTAGTAGAATAGAATGGTCCACAAGTCTCCGTGCTTGAAGGAGGCAGAGGGCTTGGTTCTAATTTTTGTTTCATTTGAAAGTGACATGTGTCACGATTCTAGCATCTTTGTGCCTACATAGCATTAGCATAGCTTATATTGCGAGTCAAATCAAGGTGTCGGGCCCGTAAAGGAGGAAGAATTGGTGGTTCCAGGGGGGGGCCGAGGAAGTTGAGTGCTAAGTGCAGCAGAGAGAAGACATTTTACATTGACGGAGAGATTGCATGGGCGGACGATGGTTTTGCATGGCCAGAGGTGTTGCTTGAGCGTCGTTCAATTGTAGAGGCTGTATTACCGCAAAACGGACGGCGGCATTGGATGAGGAGGCGGCAAGTCGCAAGTGGTGACACGGTCATATCAAACCATGTAGTAGGAGCCGGTAGGTAGCGGATGGATTGCGGGATTGGCACTGTCAGCCGGAACGCGCGAAGCTTGCTTGCAGAACAACCGTCGTGGTCCGTTTGAGATGGGACGAAGTGAAGTCGATGATGTGAAGTTGACGATGCCGCAATGTGGAGGTGCAGCTTTGACAATGTACAATGTCGATTGAGCCAATGAATACAGAGTCTGGTTTCAGGTGCACACCCACCTAGGTACTTGAGTCCCTACTGTGCCTAGGTAAGTACCTCTTAAGTAGTCGGCAAGTGCCTAGGTAAGTACTCAAGTATCTTGAGTCTAGGTACTTCCTAGGTACCTACTTAGATAGGTTCCTGGGCACTTGAGTAATTCGTTAGCTTGCCGACGCGGGGGGCAGAGAGGACCACCACTCGGGGCTGGTCGCTCACACAGAAGCACAGCTCAGCACAGCACAGCTCGGCGCAAGCTCTAGTCTGGCCCGCAAGGAGGGAAGGGCTAAGCGGCGCGTACATGTCGCGTCTGGCTGGTGACGAGTCTACCAACGTGATTACCCAGTAACGTTACTTACGTACACAACCAGACTGCCTTAAGAACTTAAGTACTTAGGTAGGTACCTCGTTGTAGCTGTTGCTCTACTTGAGCAGCGCGGCTTGCCAACGGCCATGTCGGGAAGTCGGGACCCAGCCAATCCCGTCTACACGTCCATGCTCCATGCTTGAATGCACCCGTCGTCTCGTCTGAGGCAACGAAACGGGCAACATTGAATGAATATTGTCCCAAGTCCGCTAATCTCCTCCATCTCGCGCTTCCACTCCTCACCTACACTCCCATTTCCACTCCTCCCACTCCCTCCTCCCACTCCCTCCTCCCACTGGTGCCTGTGCTGGTGTCTTGTCTTCTGTTTTTCCCTGCCCTTGTTCTTGTTGCTGGTCTTGTTCTTGATCCTATTCTCCCCGTTGGCAATCCCCAGCCGGTCGCACACCCTGAACGCCTCATCGCTTCTTAGGTGCAGCACCTCCTCCAAACCCGTCCTGCTCTCTCTGCCCGTCCGACCGTGCGATGCCGTGACCCGTCTGGCGCACTGCACCAGAGTCGAGACACGCGCTCCCTCACTGGTTCTGATATCCACGCCCGCTCTCGCCCTCGCGTCCTCCATCTGTCATCTGGGGAGCCGTGGTCCTTTACTTCGAAACCCCCGGCATCAAGCATCACGACAATTGCCCGCGTCACAACATGGCGCGCCGCCGTACCAGGGCCAAGGAGCCCGACCCCGTGGAGGCGGAAGAGCATGCCCGCGTGCACGACGACGTCCCAGAGCCTGAACCAGAACCAGAGCCCGCGGCCGAGACCGAGGCTGAGCCAGCTGGCGACGATCGAGACCAAGACGACGACATGGCGCAGCGCAGTCTTGAGTTCGACGACGAGCTATCCTGGCGGCCCGCGAAGCCTATCCCCAGCGCTACCCTCCTAGATCGTCTCGAGAGGCTGTCCAAGGAGCTCGCCGACTTCGATCAGGGGGGCGTAAAATTGGACTCGCTCAAACATGTTGCCACGAGCCTGGCGCATCGCAACCTGCTGCAGCACAAGGACCGAGGTGTCAAGGCCTATACCGCCTGTTGTTTGGTCGACATCTTGCGTCTATTTGTACCGGAAGCGCCATTCACAGATGATCAACTCAAGGTCGGTATTCCTCACTTGTCCCTTTGTATAGCTATGCTCATACAACCCATCTGTGTCTATATACTTGCAATTTTTTTTCCCGCGAATACTGACGTGTCTACTTTTGCCTGCTGCTTAGGCCATCTTCACTCTGTTCATCAAGGACATTTTACCAGCGCTTTTCGATCCTTCAAACCCTTACAACAGCCAGCACAAATATGTCTTGATGTCTCTGTCTGAAGTGAAAAGCATCATGCTTCTTTCTGAAATTCACGGTGCCGACGACCTCTTGTTGCGACTGTTCAACTCAGCCTTTGATGGTGTGTCGACAAGCTCCCAGGCCTCCAATGAGGAACAGATTGCCAAGGACATCGAGATTTGTCTCACCGATATGCTCGTCGAGGTCATTGACGAATCCTCTGGCAGCATACCCGCGACGATCATCGACGCCATCATCAGCCAATTCCTCAGAGCCGCGCCACCTGGAGGTGGTCGCAACAAGGAACAAAATGGTAAACAGGCTACCTTGCTGCATAAAACCGAGCCCGCGGCCTACGTCATGGCCAAGAACATCTGCAATGGATGCGCCGACAAAATGTCTCGATATGTCAGCCAGTACTTTAGCGACGTCATTCTCAATGCCTCAAGATTTGCGACCAAGAGCAACGGCTTCCGCCACGGGGAGGAGTCTGACGAGGAAGACAATCATTCTGGTCCGTCAGAGGCGGATTTGAAAAGCCTCCGGCAGGCTCACATGCTGATCCGAGAACTTTGGCGAGCTGCTCCCGCCATCCTACAAAATGTTGTTCCCCAGCTCGACGCCGAGTTGTCGGCCGATAATGTTCACCTGCGACTGATAGCAACGGAGGCATTTGGAGACATGATCTCGGGCATTGGAGCAGCAGGACCGCCCCCCACTCCCGTACTCGACCCTGCAGCTTACCCCCCTCTCCGCCTGATGGATGATGCAATTGGTACTCCTCCGGTCATTGACACGGAAACCAATGCATTGACGAGACCATACTCGCCGCAGTCATTTGCTCAAACTCATCACGCCACCTATCGCAACTTTGTTGGCAGAAAGAACGACAAAGCAGGAACAATCCGAGCTGCGTGGGTTACCGCTGCCGGTTACATCCTGTCTACTTCTGCCGGGGGAATTGGTCTGAGCAGGGAAGAGGAAACAGAGCTGATCAAGGGCCTGGTGGACAAGCTTAATGACAGTGAAGAAAAAGTGCGCCTAGCCGCCGTCAAGGCCATTGAGCTTTTCAACTTCCGCGACGTCATTCTGAAGCTCGGTGTGGCCGGCGGAGTCGAGAAAGAAGGGTCTATATTCGCCAGCTTGGCTGACCGCTGCCGCGACAGAAAGCCAGCGGTCCGCGTCGATGCCATGGTCTTGCTCGGAAAGCTGTGGGCAGTCGGGGCGGGAGAAATTGCAGACGGTCAGGAGGCAGTGACTGCGTGCCTGTCCGGCGTGCCGACTCGCATCATAAACGCATTCTATGCCAATGACCCTGACCTCAACGTCCTCCTCGACCGAGTCCTATTCGAGTGTCTGATCCCACTGAAGTTTCCGCTGGTCAAAGGCAAGGGCGCCAAGGGCGCCAGCGGCTCTCAGGGCAAGGGTGCTGTCACTGCCGCGGACCAGGACAAGATTCGAGCTGAAAGAGTTCTGCTTATGCTAAAGTCTCTGGATGTGCCCGCCCAAAAGGCCTTTTTCGCCATGCAGGCCCGTCAACCACAGTTCGCAAAGGGCGTTGGTATCTTTATCCAACAATGCGAGGCATATAACGGAGGCGTCATCGACGCGAATGAGGACAAGGTGAAGACCAGTCTGTCCAAAACGTTCCAGTGGATAGGTGGATTTTTCCCAGATCCATTGAAGGTTCGTGGGGATTTGCAGAAGTTTGCTAAACTCAACGACCGTCGAAGTTATCAGTTGGTCAAGTACGCGATTGAATCTGAGAGCGACTTCAAGACTGTGAGACGAGCCATCAGTGAGCTCATTACCAAGCTCCAGGGGACACCTGCAGCTGTCTGCCTAGATACGCTCATTCCACTGCTCTATCGATCAAGTTGCCTCATGTTTAATCGAAGCCATCTTGCTACAATCATGGACTATTCCAAGAGTGACAAGGGCGGCTTTGCTGCCGTTGCCCACCTGGTACTCAATGACATATCGCAGCGAAATCCCGACATTTTCAAGGCACATGCTGAGGACCTGCGGCGTGAAATCATCGAACACACCCCGAGTGACAAGAAAACCAATGACCCGGGTGTTGTTGATATTCTCAAGGCGTATTCGTCTTATGCGAAGAAGTATCCCAAGGATATCAACCATGATCGCAGTTTTACACAGACGCTAACGAGCTATGCTCTATACGCGTCCCCGCCTAGAGCTGCGAAATATGCAGTCAATATTCTCTTGGCCAAGGGAGATGACAAGAGCAAAGTTACAGCTACAAATTTGTTGAGGAGTATCATGAAGGGCCTGGAATATGGCTCACCGCACTTCTTGGCTAGGCTGGCGTCCATATCGCAACTTGAACGGCTCGCACCCTCTGTAACGGCTGACTCGGATGAGGCCATTCGTGATTTAACGATCAACCAGATACTCCGCCAAGTGCGGACAGATGCTACAGAGAAGGATCCGTCGTGGGTAGATGACGCGGATATGAACGAGGAGCTGCAAGCCAAATGCCTGGCGTTAAGGATTCTGGTAAACCAGGCTCTTGCCGCCGAGAAGGAGCCCAATGCCGAAGACCGTGTCAAAGCTGTGTTCAAGCTTCTCAAGACATTTGTCGTCACCGAAGGCGAGTTTTGCAAAGTCAAGGACACCCCTTTGCACCACAGGAAACGTCTTCGGCTGCTCGCTGGTCTGTTGATGCTGAAACTCTGCACCGTCAAGGCGTACGATGAGAGGCTGGAGCCTCCAAGCTTTAACAAGATGGCAGAGCTGGTACAAGACAGTGAACTCCAGGTTCGCAGACGCTTCATGGAAAAGCTGCAGAACTACCTCACTCGCGGCAAGCTCAGGCCCAGATTCCACACCATCTTGTTCTTGGTCGCATTCGAGCCTGCATCAGACCTTAAAAACCGAGTTGAAACTTGGATACGATCGAGAGCTCGATATTACGAGGAGAACAAGCAAAAGGTAATGGAAGCTCTAATGGGCCGGTTAATACCTTTGCTTGCTCACCATCCCGACTTCAGCGCTGAACTGGACGACTTGGTTGACTTTGCAAACTACTTCTTGTTCTACCTCAACACCGTTGCGACCGAGGACAACATTTCATTGATTTACAGATACACGGAGAGAGTCAAGCAGGTGCAGGACGGCATCAACCCCAAAGCTAGCGATAACCTGTACGTGCTTAGTGATCTCGCCTCGGCGGTGATCCGCAAGTATCAGGAGAGAAAGAATTGGATCTTCCAAGCCCATCCTGACAAGGTCGGCATTCCATCCGGGTTGTATACTAATCTGCCGTCTGCCGAGGTGGCGCAGCAGATTGCAAAGAAGCTGTATATCCCTGATGAGATTGACGAAAGGCTGGATGATTTACTTCGTGCAATGGACCGCAAGAAAGTGAGTTCCTCATCAACGTCGCTGGCAAACACTCAATCTGCACCCGCCCCTGCCCAGCGCAGCAAGAATACTAACGGAGTAAACCAGAAACGCAAGTCTCTTCACGAACACGGTGAACCGCCAGCAAAGCGACCCAGGACTCAGGTCAAGACAGTCGTCAGGGAGAAATCGAAAGCCAAAACACTACCATCCAAAAAGAGTGCCAAGCCCAAGAGAGATTCTAAGCCCAAGAAGCAGAAGGAAGAGGAGTCGATTGTCCCGTCTGAGCGGCGTCGCAGTGGTCGCGCCCACAAGGTATCAGACTACAAGGAGCGAGCTGACGAGGACGATGAGGAAGAAATGCTGGAGGGGGTGGCAGAGTGGGACTATGGCGAGGCGGACTCGGACGGGGGAGGAAGTGAAAGTGACGAGAGCTCAGAGCTGTCCGATGACGATGGTGCTGAATCCGTGAACCAAGAGGCTGAGGGAGAGGAAAAGGAAGAGGCGGAGGCGGAGGCGGCGGAGGCTCCGGCCAAGCGCAAAGGCTCCAAGGTATCCTCCTCACCAAAGGGCAAGGCGTCTGTCAAGGCTAGCGTCCTGGCTAAGCTAGATCGCACATCAAGAACGAGAGGGCGAGGCGGACGTGCGGCAAGGGATGATTCCGAGATGGAAGTGGACGAATAAGTTGGTGCTGTGAGCGCCTTTTCTGTTTTGGGAGGACCGAGGACAGTCTGGATGGACAGGTCACGGAATTGGAATTGGAATCAGCTTGTTGTTGTTCAGAATAAGACGATATCTGTGGGTGTTGTTCGCGTCATGTTGCCGCAGGAGCTTTCTTTTTACTCTCGGGTTTGCGCCGAAGGGAAAGGACCTTGACTGGGAGAGGAGAGAGAGGTGGTCAAGGAGTGCTACGATGGGAGTTGTGATGCCGCAAAATTTATAAAAATTTCTGTCAGTCGAGCCGAAGCCTCGAACACGCGGGGAAGTCGATGAATCTTGCTTGAAGCGCTGTATTCGCCTATCCTATTCTCGACGCGTCTTTTCGTGTCCCGCCCTCGCCTCGCCCTCGTTATGACTTATAACCACGCTGCCTGCATAAAAATTGGCAGTTTCACAAGGCGATAGTAATCGTACACCAACCCCCCCCCCCCCCCAAAAAAAAAGATGTACAATGAACTGTGTATTTCTAGGCGCCAAGTGAACAGGAATCTACAGTCTTTCTTTCCTTTTTTTTTTTTCCTCTTTTTGTCCTTATTTCAAGGAGCATGTATGTCAGGTGTCTGGGGGACATTTTTTCATGAGCCTGAGGCGCCGCCGGTTTGGGCCGCGAGTCGCTGGTTGACTTTTGCCCGGTGGCCGGAGAATTTCAAGTGCGCTTCGAACTTTTGGGCCGTCGTGTCCGGACCAGGGGTGTACAGCTTGGTGGCGCAGTCGAGGCAGCGGATGCGCGGGAGCCAGGCGTACTTGACGCCTTCTGGGAACGGCTGCGTCTGCGGCTGGACGGGGAGTTCGGTGACGGGGTCGAGATACGAGTACTTCATGATGGCTTCGAACTTGTCTCCGTTGGGATACTGCTTCTCTAGGTCTTTGAGGGCGTTGACGAGCCATTCTGGTGGAGGGGGCTGCGGGAAGCGTCAGCGTCAACGTCCGCGCTCAGGGCGCGCGGGTTGGGTTGGGGAGAGAAGAGGGGGACTTACGGCCGGGGGAGGTGATTGACCGGGGACGGGCGGAGGAGCAGGGAGGCGTCCCAGCTGGCCGGCAGGAAAGGAGCTGGAACCGCTCCCGGCTGGAGCCGGTGCCGCTGCCGGTGCCGCTGCCGCTGCTGGCTGGGGCGTGGACGACGCCGAGGATGGCGTGAAGGGCATTCTTGGCTTGGGCGCCGCGGCATACGCCACGACGGGCGTCTGCGGTTGTGACGGTGCCCGGAGGTCGCGATAGTCGCCCTTCATCAGTCTCCTCAGCTTGTCCTTGCTCAGCTTCAGCGTGACCCAGAGGTGAGGCAGCTCTTCCGTCTCCTCCCGGCCACGGCGGGACGTTCGAGTCTCGTGCTGGTGCAGCGACCCCGTCTCGGGCGTTTCGGAGCGCCCGATGTTGGCCATCCGCTGCTGCGCGGCCGACGCAGCCCCTCGCATGCCCCTTGTGCGCGCAGTGCCGGCCATCTGTGAAGGGGCGGGCGACTCGGGAGACGAGTCGTCGCTCTCCTCGGACTCTGAGACTTCGCCGTCGCGGGCGGTCCGCTTCCTGTTTGCGCCGGCCGTCCGTTTGTATAACTGGCTGTCCTCGACGTCCTCGACCGCGCCGGGCAGTACGGACGAAACGATGAGGGTACGGATGGTCCTTTGCCGCTCTCTAAGGTCGGGAAGCTGGGGGCCGCCTCTTCTGTTGATGGAGCGCTTCTGGCGCCGCTGCTCGCGTGAAAAGACCATTTCGTTTCGCTCCAGATCCGCTTCGCTGAGCTCGTACATGTATGGTGCGTATTCCTTGGCTTGTTGCTGTGGTCGGAAGACGACGGGGAGAGGGGTTTGCAAGAATGCAGACACGAGGTCCGAATCCTCGACCGGCCGTCCGTCGAACGGGTGTCCGATGCTGTATAGGCTGCGGGTGAAGAGCTGCGTCTGTTCGCGGATGCAGTGTGCAATGGCCGTCGTGAATTCACCCGAGAGGGACAGATCGCGTGCCATGTTGGCGGCAAATTCTTCTGGGGAGTTGTGGGGATTGTTAATTTCCCACTCAAACTGATCTACCAAGGTGTGCTGGCCAATTGTGATGTTGAGCTTGATGAGAATGCGCATTTCGTCGTTCTTGTAGGCAGAGTACGGCAACTCCGGGTCGAGGGCATCTTCTTCTGCAAACGCAAAGGGGTAGAAGTCATTGAGCTGCTCCCGCATCTGTTGGACAATTTGTTCGTAGACGGGCTGGGCGGCGGGCGCCTTGAGCCCCATGTCCTCGACCAGCTGCGCGGCAAACAGCTCGACTTGCAAAAGACGCTCGTGAAGGTTCCAGGTGAACGTGTCGCGGAGCTTGATCTTGTCCCACTCTACTTCCAGGCGTAACGGGACCAGCTCTTCGTGCTGCTCTGCCTGCTTGAGCATGTCCTTGCGGGGATACTTGAAGGGGGGTGTCGTCCGTCGTCCGGGCCGTGGCTTTTGCGATGGGTAGACGATTCGGGAGGTTGGCTGCTGGTTGTCCGTGTGTCCGTTTCCATACCCGTTGTACCCTTCGCCGTAGAGTCTGCTCGGCGGGAACCAGGGCTTGTACTCGTTCCGCACCATCCTGTACTCGTGGATCTTCTCGCGCATCTCCTGCGAGGACTGTCGCGTCTGATTCAGCTGCTCACCCAGGGCGGCGCTGGCGATGGCGTCGCGCATGGTGTACCGCTCGACCATGAGTTTGCTGAACGACTCCTTTGTGCGTACGGGTATCTCCGCCGCCGGTGATCCTCGCGAGGCATCCTTTTCATCACCGACCGGCGCTGATGTCGCAGACGTCGCGGTCGGCGTCACGCCCGGCGCAGGCGCCGAGGTGGCTGGATGTGCCGCCATGGTCGCGATTGCTAGGCGCGCAGCGATGTCGCCGCAACAACGCGGCAGCGTCGAACGGGTCAATTAGACGCGCAGCGGTCGTGCTTGATGCTGTAGCTCGGGAGGGCGTAGGGTTGGGCGGCGTATGCGATGGCGACGAGGCGAGGGTTTGATGTTGAAATGGCTTCGGGAGAAGGTTTCGTGGACTGGAAGCGGCGCCCTCCTATTGACGGTCGTTGCCATCGGCGCGGAAGGCGGTGCGCCTCAAGTAAATGTACAGACGCTGCGGTACGGGAGCCCACTGGTTATAGGTCCTGCTACTGTACTGATACATTGCTCTCCCCGACATACGGAGCCGGTGGTAGCGGGCCAATTAGGCTTGGCCGTTACAGCAAGTATCTCCACTAGGGAACCACTGGCGAGATCCGTCCCGCCGTCCGGGCAGACAAGACAATGAATGAATGGACAACGAACGCATGGATGAATGAATGGACGGCACATGATGTTAAACAGCGTGTCTTCGCCGGCTGTACCCGTAATCCCATGCCTCTACGGCACAGGCGTATTCTCCTGCCACGGCCACAAATGTTGTCGCGACCAGGCTTTCCGGCTCACGAAAGTAACGTCTCAACGGCCGCGTCCCTTTGCTCTGACTGAAAACGCGGGGGCTGCAGGGTAGGCGGAAATATGCAAGTTGACGGAGTAAACAAGGGGCGAATCTAGCCATCTGGACAGAATGGAAAACAACGACGAGCACCTAACACGGGATACGGGATACGGGATACGGGATATACGGCTCTCGAGCATCTCCGGTGCTCACGGTAGCAAAGTCACAGTACAGCCGACGTCCACAAGTCGGCGACGGTCTGTTTGTGGCTGCCGCACCCAGGCGCGACGCCCGATGCCCACAGCAATGGCGCAGCCCAGGATTTGATCCCAGCGCGTGAGCTCGCTCGTCAAGCAGGGCCCCATTGTGCATGCAGCATGGCTCGATTATGCGTGGCTCGTCAATTGTGCACGGCGCATGGGCAGCAGTCGCTTGGCTCTGGGCCCCTCTTCTGTGATTGTGATGGCACCAGTCGACCTGAGCAAAACGCGGCATTCAGCTGTCCTTTGCTTCCCACAAAAAGTCATGGACGGCTCATCCTCAATCCCCATCCCCATCCACTCGCACCACACCAGACTCTTTCCGTCTCCAACACCACTCACACGCCCCGAGCCTTGGCCATTGTCCGCAATTCTTGTTTCCCATTTGAACCTCGCCCACCATGTCAGACGACAAGGACGCCGTTGGTATGTTTCTTTTCCCCTCCCTCCCGCAATAACCTGGACGCGCTCGCTGTCTGCCGTCAAGTTGGCTCCTTCCCTCTTTATAGCTCAAGTTCTGCCCCTCTTTCCCGCGCACATAAACAATCTCTACCCCGCCATAGCCCTCAAAACATTCAGACAACACGGCGACGACGACACACGACACGAGACACCATGACACCTTCACACGGGCCGTTTTCGCCGCTGACCTGACTTGCACAGACTACTCCCTCAACAACCCCGACACTCTGACCAAGTACAAGACCGCCGGTCAGATCTCTGAAAAGGTCCTTGCTGAGGTCTCCAAGCTCTGTGTTCCTGGTGCCAAGATTGTCGACATCTGCCAGAAGGGTGACAAGATACTCGAAGACGAGGTCAGCAAGGTGTACCGTGGCAAAAAGGTCACCAAGGGTTCGTTTGTTGTCGCCATTCCATCATGTTGAATTGCCCCTTTGGCCGCTAACATGCAGCATCACCACAGGTTTCTCTCACCCCACCACTGTTTCGCCTGCCTCATATGTCACCCCGTACACCCCCCTAACCTCCGACGAGAGCGAAGCCGCTCTGGAGATTCAGCCCAAGGAGCCCATCAAGATCCAGCTGGGAGCCCAGATTGATGGCTTCGGTGCCATCGTCTGCGACACCGTTCTCGCCGGCGAAAAGAATGATGAGGTTCTTACTGGCCGGCCCGCGGACCTGATTCTGGCTACCCACTACGCAAATGAGCTGCTCCTTCGGTTGATGGTCCCCCCGGGTCTCCTTGCCCAGGGCACCGACGAGGAAAAGGCGAAGGCTGCTTCTCAGAAGCCTCCTACCCAGGCCAGAATGACCAGCCTCCTGGAGAAGGTTTGCCAGACCTATGATTGCAACCTTGTTGAGAGTACCACGTCATGGTTATTCGACCGCAATGAGATCGAGAGCAGCAAGAAAATTGTTCTTGCTCCTCAGGATGGCGGAAAGGGCGATGGTGTGCCGGCTACGTCAGAAGTCTGGGGTGTCGAGATGGGGGTTTCTCTTGGTTCCGGCAAGTGCAAGGCCTTGGACGGGCGTGCAACTCTGCACCGTCGCACCAACCAGACTTATGGCCTGAAGCGCCCTACCTCCCGCAAGATCCTTTCCGAGGTTCAGAAGAGGTTTGGCACCTTTCCCTTCAGCCTGCGACAACTCGAAGACGAGCGTGATGCCAAGTCTGGTGTCGTGGAGTGCGTCCGTGGCAATGTTTTCCGCCAGTATGAGCTTGTTGGTGACAAGGACAACGCCCCTGTTGCCCGTCTGCTCACCACCATTGGTAAGTAAAATCGTCTGCTGCGAGCGCTACGAGATAGTGGCAGCTGACATTTGCGACAGCCATTACCAAAAACGGCATCACCAAGCTGGGTGGGCCCCCTGCCCTTGATCTGAGCAAGGTCAAATCTGACAAGAGGATCACGGATGAGGAGATCCTCAAGATTTTGGAGCAGCCTTTGGCCAGAAACACGGGAAAGAAAAGCAAGAGCAAGAAGAAGAAGAAGCCTGCCAAGAAAACAACCGCCGCCGCCGAGGAGTCTGAAGACGATTCCGACGACAGTGATGAGTAAGCGTGGCAAGCGTGGGAAGCCGTGGATGGTGGTCTAGGAGAGCATTGAGTCCCCTGTTTGAGTTCAGGGGCAAAGCAGTTGACTCGCTGAAGGGAGAGCAGCAACAAGAAAAGTATAAAGTCCATTTGGGAACATGAAATAGCAATTTTAACACGGATTTCCCGCCGGGAAGTGCCGGTAAAAGTCTCGCACATTGTGGACACGACGTGGATGTTTTGGACACGGCGCAGCCTAGTGAGCGGTATCATGGTTCCCACCGTGAGCATGCGTGTGAGGCTGGTGAGGAGAATTATCTGGACAACCAACGCTGTCAGCTCCCGGTGAAGCCACGCTTGTTGGCCCCTGGCTGAGCGAGGTGAAGAAATGGCTCGACCATGGCGAAAGTGAATGACGATAGTCGGCAACGATGGCAAAGCACGGAAGAATATGGTACGTAGTAGCAGCAACCGGTCTTGACCTATGTGTACCTAAGCAGGTACTCAAGTAAATACTGCTTGGCAGCACGGACGGTTCTAGAGCAGGTTGAGGTGATGCGAAGAGAACTGATCATGCCGTGTCAGCCAGCCAAGTAAGTATCAATAACGGCTCTGTACGCAGTATAACTAACTGGCTAGGTCCAGGTACCCAGGTACGTACCGGGTAGATATACCAATATAACTACCACTTACCTACAAGTACCTACCTACCTAGTGCTTGGGGTAGTCGTTTTCTGATCCATGGTCGGCATTCAAGCCGGGTGTGCGGAATGGAATGGAATGGAATGGCGTGCGTCGCGTTTGCTACTCGGGCACTCGGGAGGCGGGACGCAGGGAGTATCTGATCTGGAGGTCCCCTTTGCGTTCAAGTTTGGACGAAACTATTCGACTGCAATAGCCCAGAGGCAGGCACCCAGGTGAAGGAGAAAACGGGCAGGGAACAGTCGGACGAGGCGGAACCCGGATGGACCAAGAGCAGGAACTTGGACATGGACGTGGAGGGAGGCATGGAGGGGGAGCGTGTGGACAGTCGAGGAAACATCAAGGCAATCTGATTAATCGCCTGAAGAGCTGCGGCCGCTGTGTCACTCGGCAACAAGCAGCCAAGTGGTCTGGTGCCGGCGTCCGCAGTCAAGGCAGCTCCAAATGAACCAACTCGGTATCCCCCCATCGCCATACATCATAAGTTACATGCATATTACATACATGGATGGAAGCCACCGCCTGGATAATTTCAATGTGGAGGCGCCGAGCGCTCGAATGCCCAACGTTCAACTGTCTCCGCATGCAGCGCGTGAACAGCTACTCAAGTACTGAGATACCTGAGCCGAGGGTGAAGAATCAAGATGAGGAGTTGACGTGAACGGACTCGGGAGGAGAGGAGGAGCAGGACAGGCGAGGCGATTTCTGGATGCTTTCTGGTCGCCGTCTGATGGCCTCCATGGGCCCTCCCCAGGCCCCCAGGCCAGGCCACAGGTGCCCCGAGTCTGGTGCCACCAGTCACCAGTCACCCACTGCCTCCCTCCCTGCCGCCCTCCCTGCCTCCCTGCTTAAGTACCCAGGTAACAAGGTAAGGTCAGTAAGCACTTAACAGCAGGTCCATACTGGCAGTTCAGCAACCAGACAGACCAGCCCCCCCCCCCAACGGCACTTCTTCTCCTTCCCTTCCTTATGATCGCGTCAAAGGCACAGAAAAAGCGCGATTCAGTCGCTGGAATCCATGCTACAGCGCGACAGGCAAGTGAACAGCCCTCAGAGCCCCGACTGCCCGGTGTTTCCTCTCGCTTCTCGTGCAACGGTTGCTGACGGCTCGTCTGTCAGGCTTGAGGAGGTGCGTTGCCTTGATTCCGCGACCACGGCAAGGGGCGCGCATAAGACGGGCACGCCCCGATCACCCATGAGCAGCAGCAGGCGGCCAACTTCTCCCCCGCCAACACGCAACAATGATACCGTTCAGTGCGAGGGCCTCACGGTCGGCCTCGCGATATTCGAGCCCTGCGCAGCCGAATGGAGGAGCTGTGAGCAAGCCGCTGGAGGTGTCACGGAGTTCCGCAAATGAAGGATCGCGGTCCTTCATGCAGCGATGGCTGGAGCCCTCTGTCCAGAGCAAGCCAAGCTTCGAGGAGGCAGGGCTGGTGCGTGGTGGAGTTTTGGAGAACATGGCCCCCCTGGGAGCACTGCCCAAGGCCAAGAAGGCGACTGGCGAGAACGGGGTGCCCACCAGGAAAATCATATTGAAGACTTCGAGTACGCATCCGCCAAAGAAGCCGGCGGGACAGGACGCGCTGGCCCAGGATGACGGCCACGCTGGGAGGGCCGCGTCTCCGGCCGCGTCACCGCCGGCCTCTCCCCTGTTGCCCCCTGCACCCGCCAACAAGAGGAAGCCGCTGGCTGCAAAGGCAAAGGAAGACGAGGCAGACGACGAGGAATATGACCCAAAGGGCGATTCCCGTCGGAGGCGCTCCCGCAGAGTGTCACTACCTGTGAAGAGGACCACGACGGCCGCTACCACGGCGGCGCAACCGCCGACTTCTCGGGAACGCAGGAGCTCCACAAGCATCGTGCTGAAGCCAGCAACGCCCGTCAAGCGTCAAGCTCGAGGTGAGCCGGAAAAGCAGGGACTGACGGACAAGGTGGTCGAGGCAGCCGTGGACGAAGCGCTGAAGCACTGTCGCTACCCAACCGCATGGGCCCTCAAGACGCTCTACGAGGAGAAGAGCGGGGATCGAGACTTTGTGGCCATGATCCAAGACGTCTTCAGCCAGACCGCCGACAAGGAAACCATGGACGAGTTTTTCAAGCAGATGGAGGAGAGAAAGCGACAAGGAAAGCAGGACAACCGAGGGTGCTATTTCTTCGTGCCCCCGGCCATGAGCAGCAGCAGATCGACACCGCGCAAACCCGTGGCCGCGCCGTACGCGCATCTCATCCACGAGCCGGGGGAACTGCCCCGGGAGGGCACGACACGGGCCGCCAAGAAGGCCAAGGTGTCGCACGGCGATGCTGGGCTTGGGACGTCGCCGGTGAAAGGGGCCGGGGCAGCAGCTGCCGGCACTGGCAGGACGGAGAGGGCGACTCCGACTACGAAAATCATCAGGGTGAGGACGCCAGCGTGGCGGAAACGCGCGCGACGAGACTCGGGGTCCAGCGACTCATCTCTCTCGACGACAGTGAGCATGTCGTCGCCCGAGGTGAGGGCGAGCGGCCTCGGCAGCCCCAGCGCGCTTGTCCGGCCAGCAGCAGGCCGGGGAGACGGGCGAGGGGACGGACGAGGAGCAAGAGAAGCGAGAGGAGGCACCGTCGCGGCCCCTAGCACCACCACCACCACCGCGTCGACCACGTCGACCGGCGAGGCCACTGGGGCCAAATCCCAGACTGTGCCAAAACCCCAGCCAATCACCACCCGCGGCAAGTCGGCCGCCTCCAGCAAACAGGTCGTGTCCAACTCGTACCGATCCAACTCTCCCACCCTTCCCAACGCAAGTCGCTCGCGCGCTCACCAGTCTCCGTCTTCTCTTGCCGACGATGCCAGCATGCCTGGCCGGGTTTCAGCTGCAGAGCTCTTCCCCAACCTCAAGCTCAAGCCTGCAGAAAAGTCGGCCTCGGTCTCAGCCACCACGGACGCGGAGATTGACGTCCCGGCCCGCATGCCGGAGGAGGACGAGGAATCATGCTGGGACCGTCGACGGACTGCACGGAGGGCTACCAACAACTTCAGTCCCCAGGAGAGCGCCGTCCGGGTCCCCGATGCGGAACGCGGGACGACGCCTGCGAGGACGACGAGGCGGACGCGCCAGTCTCTTGCGGCCTCTGTCACCGCGAGGGCTACTCGCTCGGCCAGCAAGCGTCCCAGTGACGACGCGGAGAGGACGGTCTCGCCCATTGCCTTGTCCTTGACCGGGGACGGAAGTTCTACCGTGCCATCTCGAGCCGCCACGCCAACGTCGCTGCGGCCCGCCAAGAAGCAGAGGACGGGACTGCGCGTCAAATCATCGTGGGTTTGCCCCTTCCCCCTTCGCCCCTTGGACGCGCAATAGATGACTGCTCGACGGAGGGGCCACGGCCTCCCGGGCTCGGACTCTGAGTGTACGCAACGGTCTTTTGGTAGGGGGGAGGCGGCGGTGCTGAGTGCGCCTCGGGTCTGCGCGCGCGCTCCTCTTGCTCCCCGTCCCGGGGGCTCGAGGCCCGCGCGAGGTTTGCAAGGACGCAGCCGCGCTCAGCTCGACAATCCCACCTGCGACCGCAGCGCTGCAGAGCGAGCGAGGAGACGGTCGCGTCGGCTCCGAGGACCTCGACGCAGGTTCATCCCGACGCGCAACCCCGAAGCGAGAACCGTGACTAACGTGTTGGTTGCTTGCAGGCCGGTCAAGAAGAAGGGAGGTGCCGCAGGCGTGCCGCGGCCGCCTCAAGAGCTGAATGCTTCGTCACTGAACGGTCTCGCCCCCAAGGACCCGGTACGTCACGGTTTTGTTTTGTGTTGTTTTGTTTTGCTTGTCCGCAGCAGCACGAGGTGGAATCCTGCCTGCCCGGATGGACGGACGATGGACGACCCGCCGCACAAACGAGGCCGTGCTGACCAAGACCCCGTCTCACAGAACGCGGACAATGATGAATACTGCTCGGCATGCGGAAACACGGGCGACGTCGTGTGCTGCGATGGCTGCCCGCGCTCCTTCCACTTTGAGTGTGTCGACATGGTTCAGTCCGACCATCTGCCCGACGAGTGGTATTGCAACGAGTGTCTCGTCCGACGATACCCCTCACGCGTGCCTGTTCACAAGGGCATCTTCGGGAGCGCCCTCAACAATCTGGAAAAGAGCATCCCCCGGGCATTCAGCCTGCCTAGGCGCGTGCAGAACCGCTTCGAGGGGGTGAGGGCCGGTGCCGACGGCGACTACGAGGAGGTCGTGAGCAACAAGACGACGAGGTTGGTCGGTCCCTTTACCCTCGCCCGGCTGTCTTTTTATGGTTGTCACCATCATCATCGTCGTCGTCGTCATGGTCATTTATTTACACCACGCACTGTGGCACCGTGGCTAACGAAAATTCTCAGGAAGCGAAACGGCACAGACGAGCCCGACTTCTTCAAGCAGCGAGAGGATGGACAGGCCGTCTTGTGCCATTGCTGCCAAAGGCCGGCAACTCACATCAGGTCCATCGTCCCCTGCAGCGCGTGCTCGTTCTATTGGCACATTGACTGTCTGGATCCGCCGCTCGCGGTGCCACCTGTTCTCAAGACCTGGCGCTGTCCCGCCCACGTGGACGACATCCTCATCGAGGTCCCCAGTCTCGCTCCCGCTCATCGCTTCCGCAAGGTCAGGGGCAACCAGACGGTGACGCCCGCATTTGCCCGTGGCCTGAAGAACAATGGCCACATTGAGATCGACTGGACCGATGAACCCGACGAACCCGACTTGTCCGGCTGGCCCGACCATCGCTCCTTTGGACGGACGTACAGGCTTCCCGCCAAAGGCGTGGTTCTCGACTTCATCCAACAGTGAGTTGCGTCCCATGCACGTCCTTGGCTTGACCATCGATGCGTTGCTCATGTCCAGGTCCCCATGTCGGGTCCATCCATCCACTGCGCAACTCACCACGATTCTAACCCGGCGGCGTGCCACAGGTTGAGGAACAAGGGGGCCGGGTACGGTCCTCGACAGAACGAGTCCAAGCTCATTCCCTGTCCAACCCTCCCGGACCGTGGCGACTCCACGAGCCCACTGCCCGGCTCTGCTTTGGATCGCCGCCTGCACGAGATGCAAGTGTCTCTGAACCTGATCAGTCTCCAGCAGCATCGATCAGATGCGGTAGACCAGCTCACGGCTGCTCTCTTGGTAGGTGCCCCGGCGTGCCGCCCTTCCCGCTGGTTGAGCCGACGACGACGCTGACAATGGGGGGATCCGCCAAGGCCTCCGCCGACGATAACATGCTCGCCCTCATGGCCAAAGGCAACGCCGCCAACTTTGCCTCTGGGCGCCTCACGGCCGCCGACCGCCTCGGTCTTCGTGCCATGCTCGCCCAAATGGACGCCATGAGCGCGCGGGTCAGAAAAGTCCTGGCAGGCGACACGTGCACACCCGCACCGCAGCCCATCAAGGCAGAGGCCAGTTCCCCCGTTACCGAGTCGACAATGGGCCTCAACGACCCTCGTGCAGAGAAGATGGACCCTTGCATGCCCGTCACCGAACCAACGCCGCCCTCCACCGTCGATCACGGAGAAGGCACCATGGATCTTGATTAGGAATCGGAACAATACGACAACGGCAACCCCACAGTCCGCCTTGAGCCGCCGCTCTCCGTGCACGCACACTCACGCTTATATCTATGACGATGCGCTTTTATAAAGACGGAAAGCGAGGATTTGAAGAAATATCCTTAATATAACCGCCCTTTAAACCACCACACACACAGCAACCTGTTCATCTATCTTGCTGTCATTCATGCATCTCTTTGTCCTTGACATACACGCCTCTTGTTGCCAAAGTGGCACATCCTTGTCCATGTACTAGATTTTTTTTAACTTTTTTTTACGTCTTTTTTTTTTTCCCAGACAGCATTCAGAATGAGGAGCGAGTAGGGAGGAAGGCGTGTGGGGACGGACGTCTGGAAGGACGAAGGAAGCCTCGTCTGACCTGACCATGTGTATCAATTTTTTTTCCATGGTTCTGTTTCTTCATCTTCATCTTCTTTTCTTGGGTCGTGTTTGTTAGGAATAAGACTAGCGAGTGGAATGGGGGGGGCAAAGTTCATGGTTGTTGGTGCATGGTATAGCTCCGTCTTCAGCTTGTTTTTATCCCATAAAATGATCCATCATCCCCTTCCTTGCCTTGACTGCATCACCTGTGCCGGCGGTGTACCGTGGGTCGCTGGACAAGTGTATATGCTAGACTGCCGATGCTATAGCTTACTCCTGCGTCTCCCGGATGTGAGTGGCCTCTAGTACATGTATATGAAGGGAAACGAACGCTTCTTGTCATCCATCATGCGTGGCACTCAAAACGCAAAACGTGCAAGAGGCGGACAGAGACGAGTAAAAAGAAATAAAAAAAAGGTCAAACCATCAGACAACCACAGAGCGCAACAGAACTACCAAGGTCGACAGAGGTCCCTATCCTGCCAAGCGACACAGCCGGCAGATACATCCATCTTGTTTCGCCGCTCCTGTCTTGCACGATGCCCTCCCTCCCTTTCTTCCCGTCAACAAGTCGTCATCTCCTCTGACACGACAGGACTCATCCACTGTACGACCACATAGTATAGGCAGGCGGCAAATGAATGCACAAGCAAATGACGCAGACACAGACATCAAAAATTTAGTCCAGAAAAAGACACGGCCGAGGAAGGGGAAAAAAAAAAAAGGAGTAAAACTTCGAATTGACGCATGATTTTCATGTTAAATCCAGGGAGGCGTGACAGATACAAGATACCAGCGATCTCGTCGGGGCCTTCGGCGCAAATACGAATGTGAGAGACCTGCCCGACACATTCTATTTCGCCCTCGGGCTGAGAACAAGAAAGAGCTTGCGAGCTAACAATGAAATATGGAATGCAGCCCCCATTGCCGGAATCCGTCCAGAGCGGGCTGGTTTAACTGCAGCGTCTTGACCGCCCCAACGCTTGGGCATAGTCTACCGAGTTTGAAACCTTCAACTCCACCGATCAACTTTTGACAAGCCAGGTGTTGTCTGATGCACAGACAAAAGAAAAAAAAAACAAAGGACAGGGGAACCGGTGCCCTGGGCTCAGAAAACTTGATTTTTTCCCCTCATCTCTATCAACGTGAGTTAGTACCTTTATCAAGACGGATTGAACGGGTTGACTGGACACGTACGCGACCACCACGTCGATTGCTACTCTGGTCTTGCGGCATGTACGCCATGCTTTGAATACCACCCACATTCCCATAGCCGTATCCGCCGACTCCTACCCCAAAGCCTGGAGGCGCATAAGGCGGCTGGCCGGTTGGTATCTGAGGGGGCATCTGAGATGCCGGGGGCTGAATGGGGCTTCCATTGGCCAAACTTGGCTGACGATACTGATCAACAGCCGGAGCCGGGGTGGTGCCATAAGTCGTGTACGGACCCTGCATTGTCGGATAATTGTACGCCATCTGCGGCGTCGGTCGGTTCAACATGTTCTGTGGGTACTGGAGCTGCGGCAAGCTCACGGCCGGCGCCATGGGACCTGCTGGGGTGCCGGCATACATTATGCCTTGCCCGTACGGCTGGAATGAAGAAGCAACACTGGGGTCGGCATTGTCGCTTATTTGACTGCCATAGCCCGTCTCTAGACCCGCTGCGGTAGTCTGGGCGTTGAGAGGGTTGTAGAATGGTTGATTGTTGGACTGTCCGCCTTGGGCATGCTGGCCATTTATATTGGCTCTGTTGCTGGCTTGTCGAGAAGTTGGCCTCTGTCGGCCATCGGAAGTGCCACTGTTTTCGCGAGAGGGAGCCGCTCTAGTGGACAAACCAACCTCGTCCATCAGTCGTTTGTATCCCTGGTTAGGCTGAGCCTTGACCCTGACGAGAACTGTTTTGACGTTTTCTATGACTTGAGTCCGGACATTCTCGTCAAAGAAAGCGGTCGTCAGGACCTTGAAGATCAGCGTGGCACCGCAGTTGGGGTCGTGAAGAATGGCCTCGAGAACATGGTCATTGGGCGAAAAGAAAAGCGCCTTGAGGATGATGTCTCGAGCCTCCGGTTCCGACTTCTGGTTGATGATCTTGAGAACAGTGACATAAGCCACCTTGTGTGTGCAAAGGTAAACCAGATGGGGAACCAGGCGCGGGGCCAACACTGTGCGCTTTTTTGGGAACGCGCAAGAATCCAGGAAGAACGTCAACAGCAACGCACTGTTCGAGTTCGTTGCAAGCTGCGCGCTGTGTATGGCAGTGGCGGCGGAGACAACCATGTCTTGAGCCCTTGTGCCGAGTTTGGATTCCAAACATCCTCTCACGGCCCTAGCACTGCAGCGGCCTTGGGCGATTTCCCACATGCGGCTGACGACGCCTTCGAAGAAGAAGTCGTTGTACGGAGGCCCCCAGTTCAAACAACCCTGGAGTACATAGTTGCCGTATTGGTCAAGGAACAGCGGCACTGTGTATGGCTTGAGGTGCTCAACAATCGTCGTCTTCTGCTCGTGCGTTTTGCAGACGGCAATGATCTTCTGCGCTGCCCAGGTACCGTTCTTGTGTACTCCTATTTCGGCCAAGTGCGGCGCAATCTCTGCAAGCATGGCATCTCGAACCTGGTCAGAGCAGTGTTCGAACAACTTTTGAACAACAGTGTTGCCAAGGTAATCCGACGAGAGTTCCGCAATCTCGGGAAGCATGTCGACGGCGATGTTCTCTATCTCGGGCTTCGACAGGAGTTGATTATCTATACGCTTTCGTATGTCTCTGAGTTTCGGGGCGTCATGAACTCTTGTGTGGGTGGGCTCGCGGATGGGAGGAATCTCTTCGACATAAGCTGTGTAGTGTATCGCGGACTGGACATACTGTGAAACGGCTGCCTTGTCTTCATCTGTTGCTCCGAACTGCGTCACAATCTCCATGATGTCTTCCGCTAAATCAGTCATGGGTGGTACTGTGGGGGTGGAAGTTTCCCCATTAGCCGTCAAGGCGCCATCGGCAGCAGCCGCGATTCCAGCTGGTCCGCTGGCATTGTCCTCGCCCTTGACAAACGGGTCGGGGCTGGGAGATGGATATGCGCCGTCATGACCCGGGGTATTAGATGCTGAGGGTGGCTTGGCGAAATTGATCCGAATGGGCCCAGCACCGGGGAATATCTCCTTGCCGTTCATGGAAGCCTTTGCTGCTACCGAGCTTTCTACTCTCTCGAAGTTGACAAAGCCACAGTTCTTGTGCGTGAGTACACGAGCTGACGAAATCGGGCCGTGACATTTGAACATTTCAATCAGAGTCGACGTGGTGGTCGATGTCGGAATACCACCGAGCCACAACGCACTGGTGGGACCTTCCAACCCTTGTTCCTCCGCAGTGAGAAGACCAGCGTTAAGACTGTTGGACCTGCCAAGATTTATGCCTGCAATTGCCTGAGTGAGGTCATCGTATTCCTTTCCGTCTTGCAAACGAATATCCGTGGGAGCAACCGATGTGGGGATTCCGACGTTGGTAGGGAGGTGAGCCCGGGACAGCCGGTTGCCAGGAGCTTCCAGAACTCCAGCAGTCCGAGCGCGGGGGCGCGTGGCGGTGGCCTGGTTTACGAATGCTTGAACAGCTAGGTTATGACTGTGAATTGCGGCGTTGGTGGCGGCCAATTGATCCTGAAGAGCGACATATTGGCTCTCCATGGGCAAGCTGTCGACTTCGTAGTCATCGTCCTCATCGGCGTACCTGTCCTTATTGTTGACGGAATATGACCTGAAGCGGTTAGACTGCCTGGTAAAATCCAAGTTGGCCAAGTACGGTGTCGCCAACTGGGCACGAGGAGGTTGAGGGGTTTCAGCAAGACCGAGATAGTCCAATGTGCGCATATGCACATCAGAGTCACCGCCGCCTTCCTTGGAGAACTGCGATTGGGAAGGTGAACTAGGTCCGTTGGAGCCAACACTTGCAATGCTCGCCAGAGTTGACCCTCGCTCACGACCAACACCAGCAGGATTCCAGCTACTGAAGATGGAGGGGCCGAAGGGTGAGGTCGTGCCGGGGAGTGTACTGAACTGGCTACGCTGCGGCATAGACCCGGCACGAAGCCGAGAAAGAAGTGCAGAGCCACCAGTGGCACTGTCGGGGTGGTCTAGGTTTGGAGAGGGAGATTTTCCGAACGGGCTTTGTGACGGAGTAACTCGGGCAGATTTGGCGGCCAGTCCTGGGATGTTCAAAAGGCCGTTGACTGGACCGCCGGGCAGTCGAGACGGAACTGTGCCGGCCCGAGCTCTACCGGTGTGAGGCAGACTTTCAGGAGTCGGAAGAGGGGTAAAGTCAGGAAAGCCGTCGGTGGGAGACTCGGGAATATTCTCGCGGAGAGGAGTCGAGTTTCCGCTGGTAGGAGGGCCACCCCACGGGTTGAGCGGCAGACCCGGGATGCATTCCTGGGCCCGGATTTCGCGAGCTCTGGTTGCGGGAAGCAAGCTGGTTAGCACAAGTTGGCCGAAAAGACGGCGAGCGAACAAAGACACGCGGGACAGGAAAATAAAAGAAAGGGAGAGATGAAGGCGGCGGCTCGGGGAAAGGCATGTACTTGTGCGTTGCAAAGCCTCGCTTTGCATACACACGAAGCGTGACCACCAACCTTTTGGAAAATAGCCGGCTAGACCCAGCCATGTCGTGCGACGGAGAGCTGGCGCCGGACCGCGCATTGCCCGCCATTATGCCGCTTGAGAGGCCGAAGGGAGATCTCCCAGTGGAGGCAGATGGATCAACTGGGGAGTTACCAGTACCAGGTGACTGAGATCGAGCAGCCTGAGAGGCGGAGTGGTGGGACGAAAAACCGGGTGCCATATGATCTGATCTAGACATCGACATTATCAATTACCTAGTTGGCCTCATGACAATGAGCAGCCGTAGGGTGAGATGGAGGTATAAATGCTCTTTTTTTCTTGTTAAAAGAATCGCGTCGGATGCTGCACGAGCTATAGAGATAGGATGATGACAACGGCCGCCGACGTGTGAAGGAAGTCGTACTCGCGTTCGTCGAAATGGAGGGACCAAAGGACCGATGACGACGAGAGAGAATGCAGCAGAAGTCGGCAGCTGACGAAGGAGACGCAAGGTCTTGAAGGGAGCGGAAGGGGCGCACAAGAAAATAGAAGACACCGGGTGGTCCAGTAGCCAGGTATTACAAGACGGTACTGTGACAACAGACTGGCCGAACGAGACTCGCGGGGATTTTATTGCTTCCAGGGGAACGACCGAGACGACGGACTATGGGCACGCAGCAAGGGATGCTGGGACCAGAAGAAGTGAAATTGCGTTTCTTGACAGGCGGCAGTATAGGGCGGCGGGCGTCGGGCGAGGGGTGTGGAAAGCGGTGACAATAGCTGCAGCACACCTTTGTCAATCAAGTCAAAGATGCGATTGTACACGAAGGCCGGCTGCAACACGACGGCTGTCCGGAGTGCGAGTCTCGGCGAGAAGTGCCACGTGGAGAAGAAAGCGAGGCAGAAATAAAGTTAAAAAACGATCAATATACAGGCCTCATTTGGGATTTGGGGAAGAAGGGGGGAAAGAGGAAGGGGGAAAGGCGGGGGGAAGGGTTTCGGCGGAAGAATGGGATGGAGGATGGAGGAGAGAGAGTCGGGGGGGAAAAAGAGAGGCTGTTGGTGATGATGACAGGGGCCGGTTTCGTGGGCGGTTGAGCAGGACTAGCTAGGACTGGACTGGACGTGGAGGGAGGAGAGGTAACTACTTGGTGTACGGACGTCGACGGCATACCCAGGCAGGTACGGAGTAGTTACCTACTCAAGGACTCAAGGTCTCCGTGGCTTGCGGTTGACTGGGGTCTAGCACAGCTGCGGAGCAGTCCGGTGGCACCTGGGGCCAGCTACGGGACAGACCAACCGCAGACGGCGCACAGCACACAGCAGACTAGAGTGCGATGCCCATGTGCCCGCGCCGTGCAGCACCGGTCTGCCTGCCTGGCAGAGGGCTGTCTCCTAAGTCACTACTTAAGTAAGTAGACTAGACCTGCGAGCTTTCAATGTCGAACGTCGAGAAGCCGAGAGGCTGCAGGCCGCGCAAGTGTGGCCCGGTTTCCACGTTCCAATCTCGAGCATGTACTTACTCCGTAGTGCCCGCACATGCACCTACCAAGTACGGAGTACTTACCAAGTATGCAAGTACGTGGTCTGGTTGTTGCGGAGCGAGTTACTGGGTCCGCAAGCCCGAGCTCAGGCCCCCAAGGGCCAGGACCCAGCACCATGCTCAACTGGCAGTTGACTGTCGGCGGCCTGGCCAGAGCCTACTCCACTGTGCTACAGCGCATCACGCGGTGTTGCTGTCTGGATCCCTTCAAATGTTGCCTCGAGCAATCAGCCGCTTGTCTGGCAACACCTGAGCACCAGTCGACTGTGCCAAAACCACCGCGTCCCGCTTGACATGCACCATCCGTGCCTATGCCAACGATGCCTTTCAATGTCCATCCATCCAGCAGCAGTGCAGCGGCCGCCGTCCTGGCACGAAAACCCCACGACAGCCAGCCACAAGACGAAGCTGGCATGATTCTCCAGCACTGAAACGAAAAAAAGCCTTTGCAGGGCTTCCCGGAGTACGGGGTTGCAGGTCCGATACTAGACGCGTTCTTTCTGACGGACCACTTTCATACTAGTTAGTACCAGTAGTAACTACTCCTAGTATGCCATACATGTCAGAGAGTGAGGGCAGCCAAAAGACAGCCAAACTACTCCAACGGGGGACATGCGAGAGATGCACGCCTCCGCCCCGCCCTCGGGAATGTGGCACTGATCAGTGGGAGCCGAATACAGTACGGAGCAGCTGATGGCTACGAGATGCAAGCAAGATGGTGGCCATCGAGAGCACGCATCAATCGCTGGCTCTGCACATTCTAGTGCGGCTGTGCTCTTGCGCGCGCTGTTCGTGAATCGTTTGGCTGGCTGGCATCGGCGTACTTGGTCCCGCACCGAGTCTTCTCGAGCCGTATTGTGTATATGTAGTAACGTTATATTGTGTATGGCAGCGGTCCGGTCCACACAAGACCTCGTGTCACTCTCTCGCACTCGTATACCTTCCGAGCCCAAGCCGTCGTCGATGTTGTCCCTCGCCCTGTAGACGGCCAGATGCCGACTCTGTCAGGGACGCCAAACTGCTGACATGGCCTGGAACTACATCCCCAAGGGACACGACAATCGTCCGGTCGTCTGCCTCATGTTTGGCCGTCACACGTGTCCAGCTTCATCTTGTCGATGACGTAGGCCGAGTCGTCAGAGTGGTCGGTTGGACGATTCCCAAGGGCAGCATGCACGGCGAACGTGCGTCGTCTCTAGAGCGCAGTACGGAGTACGTAGTTGTGCTGTCAGTCCGAAGGTTCGAGGGAAGGAGCGTTGGCACATGCAGACATGTAGACCTGCCGAGCACGGAGCACTAGGCCTTCCTTTGCCGCCTGCACACCATCAACCCCGACGGGCTGCGGCTGATAACCAAAGGTTACTCGCTACGGAGTACGGAGTACGTACTGACTGACGTGCGAAATACCCTGACCCTGCTTCCCCGCCTCCTGCTTGCTTGCGCTGCTGGCCGCCGCTTGCGCCTCTCACCGGCTCGACCTAACTCAGTCGGGCAATATTTCAGGGGACAAGCCGCAAATCTCATTGGCGCACCACCAGACGGGACCGAGGGAGGGCCAGAACCACCCCTGGCCCCTGGCCGTGATGCCCGCAGGCCAGCAGACCAGCAGACGCCTGACCTGGACATCAATTGGTGTCGATTGGCCAGGTGGCATCGGCCGTGGACCGACTTCCTGTCCGCGACTTCCGGTCCACGCCCAACCACCAGACACACCATCGATCGTACATGGCACATGGCTGGCCAATTCGTGAGACTGAAAGCTCTGCTGCGAGTCTGCCACCTTGGAAGCCGGCCAGAGCCAGAGCTTACTTCCTGAATCCTGACTGAGGCCCTCGGTACTTGGAGAGGTAGGCAGATACTCAGCTGCACAACTCATCTGGTCAGTGTACACGCGTAAATGCAACACGAGCCAACCAACACACTTTGCGTAAATGCTATCCTATAGCATGACGAGTTCGTCTATTTACTATTAGTATATGTCATCTCTCCAGGCTAGTCAAGAGTCCCGTGAACGTTAACATCGTAGCTGTGGCTGTAACCTTCACACGACCGAGTAAGTCCCCTCTACACCCACCACCTTGGTCTACCACCATATATATGCCTGCCTCTTTTCTTTACGGAGCGCTCTCCATGTACGGACATCTTGAGTCTAAACAGATGACATCAAAACCACCACTCTTTCGCCGCCGCACGTTCCCCGAGCACCAAATTTTGTCAGACGCTTGCTCAAGAGGTAGATACAGTCGTCTCAGGATCCCAACCCAAACGCCCCAATATTCAAGTCATTCTTGCAAAGCGGCATAAGTGTCATTTTTCATTTAGTCAAATCAAGTCTCAAAGGCGTCATGTCATGTTTGGTGGAGGGGGTCAAATTTGATGCCGCTGCAAGGGACGTCGTGTTTATTTCGCGTGCTTCTTAAACGCCAAGAGTTCTGCCAAGCTGCCCAGCGGGCAGCCGTATTTCAAGAAGTCATGTGCCAGCAGCTCATCAGCCGAAGCACGACTTTTGACGTCGACGCAAAGACAGACGGAGAGGAAAGCCTTTAGCTCCTTGCTCAACTTTTCGGGCTTCTTGAGGCGAGGGGTTCCGTTCGTGGCGATCAAATATAGGGCCTTCAGAGGCTCCTCATTGAGGTACGGCGGTTCAGACTCGATCATTTCAATAGCCATGATGCCCAATGACCAGATATCAACTTTGGGGCCATACTCCTTCTGCTTGACAACTTCTGGCGCCATCCAGTATGGCGTCCCGACCATGGTGGCTCGTTTTGACTTTGTATCCGTAAGTTTGGCGCAAAATCCAAAATCAGCTGTCTTCAAGTCAGTATCGTAAAACTTGCTCATGCATCAAGTCCGCAAACTCACTGATTTTGACATTGCCCCGAGCATCAAGCAGAACGTTGTCACTTTTGATATCTCGGTGGATGATGCTTTGAGAATGGAGATGTTGCAGTCCGTGGCAGGTCTAAAAAAAAATGAAACAAAATGTGTTAGCAAGCCCCGAGTCTTATTTTCGTTTTGGCCGAGTGACAAAGAACATAACCCACCTCGTTGCAAATAGTCGAAATCTGTTCCTCGGAAATGGACGGGTTGTTGTCGATGACATCGGTCAGAGCACCACCTTCCATATACTCCATAACAACCCAGAGTTCCTGATTGTTGTTTCGTAGGAAAGCATCCAGGAAGTTGACAATGTTTCTGTGTCTACTGTCCTTCATGACCATGATTTCGTTCACAATCAACTCCTTTCTTGGCTGATGGGCAAGGTCCATCTGCTTGATGGCCACTTGTGCTCGGGGTCCCTGTTGTCGCAGAACTTCTCGGGCAACACCCTGGGCAGTCTCCTTGATTTTGGCCACATACACGGAGCCAGAAGCACCTTGACCAATCTTCTTCTGTTTCGAGTACGACATGTTGGGGTCATCTTTTGACACGGCCTCCTTGAGCTTCGCCATGACCTCATTTTCTGACATTGTCGACATGCGCACATCTTGCTTGCGTTCCGATGCCGAGGGCTTTGCGGTTAGGGCAGCTTCGGCGGCCTTGATACCTTCTGCTTGGTGAGCCTGGTTGGGCTTAGGTGCCACGTTCAGTGGCTTGACAGGAGCTGGCAAGCGTGATGCACCCTGTGCAGGCTGTGGTTGTCTTGGCTGAGAGGGCTGAGCACCATTTTGGCTTCTGGATGCTGGTGAACCGTCGTTGCGGGGTATTCTGGAGGATTGACCGGTAGGGTCGCGGGAGCTGGATTGTGCTCCTTGTAGAGGGCGAGGCGCGGAACTGGATAATGATGGTGGGGGCGGAGCTGGTCTCTGAGCGCGCATGCCATTTGCCGGGCTCCCTGACTTCGGTGCTGGGGGAGCAGCTCTCGTGGGGTTGAATCGATCGCCATGTGATGAGCCTCCAGGACTACCGCCATAACCGCCAATCTCCTGCTGAGCCAGGGGCACCTTGTTCTTAGGAAGGGATGCATTGTAGGCATCTAGTTCACGGCGCTCTCGGTCGTCAGCCTCACGCTGGCGTTGGAGTTCCATATGCTTCTTGCGTTGCTCTTCCCTAAGAGCATCCTGAGATGCATAGCTGGGAGCCACGTTCTGCACTTGCTGGCGCTGTTGCTGCTGGTCTCCGAGAGGAGGGCGTCTTGACTGGCCGCTGCTCGAAGGCGTACTACCATAACTCATGTTTCGCTGCGCTGGAGCTGGAGGGGCTGGACGAGGAGGGGCGATGCCTGCCCCGGCGCCCAGTTGTTTGTGCTGCATGCCTCCTAAAGGTGTAGGAGTCATGCTGGAATACTGGTTAGGATTTTCGGCTCTCTTTGCAAGGTCGGTGTAGAAGTCCAGGACCTCAAATACAGCTTGAGGGTTGCGCTCGTAATCCTCCTTCGTGATTGCGGATGAGTTGAGTAGCTTCGACCATTCAGGCGGCAAACCCACGAATTCGCCGGTTTGAGGGTCGAAACCAACATGGACAGCGTGGGAGAAGTTGGTCGGGTTACTCACACCACCCATGCCGGGGCACGCGCCATAGATGAAGTCGATCCACTCATACAGCTCATCATCACCCTTAACCTTGATCTGCAGAGTTTTTGTTTGGCCATCGTCATCACCCGGGCTGTTGGAGGCGCCATCCGGTTTTCTCTTGATTTCAAAAATAGTGCCAGCGGCCTCAACCCTGCCAACGTTGACCACGTCTTTTAGATATAAGGTATAGGACACTTTACCTCCTTCCGTTTTGTGGAAGTCGAGAGACTCCTTTCGGAGGATCAGGTATTTTTGTTTCCAAGGCTGGATAAAGTTCTTGCTCTCCTTGACCGATGCCCATCCTTCTTTCTTAATAGCAACTCCCCCCATACCATCCATGTTATTAGACTGCTGGCGCGCGATGGGCAAGGAAATGGTGGAGCCGGTGTACGTCGATGTAGCGGTACTTCGGATAGGTGAAATCGCCATGTTCGCCATGTTGCCGGGCAGATTGGTACTGGGCGTCAGGTTAAGTCGAGGTCTGTCTGTAGGCGGTTTTGGCGCCGGTCCAGGGTTCATGAACTGGCCGGCGGAATAGAGGCTAGGACGTGTCAGTTTGTAATTGGTGACACAGGGCTGCACAATAATCAAGGCACAAGGCATGGCAAGGCAAGGCAAGCTGAGCGCCGACGAAAGCGTCGTTCAACCGGAAAACATCGAAACGAATTGGTTAGCCGCAGAGAAAGCTCGGTACCGAACCAAGGCCCCATTTACAACAGCAGAACGCGACTCATCAACGGGACCGAGTTCTTTCTTCCTTCAGCAGGGAGCCCGAGGGTTCTGCGAATAGTAGGGCAAGTGGTGACAAGCGGCTGTTGGCTCTGAGCAGTTTGAAAGCATGCGAGGAATCGGGGAGACGAGAACCGAAACGTCTTCAACGTACCCGTTTTGTGCCATGGCTGTGAGAATAGAACGCGGCGTCGTCGATGTACGATGTGCAATATGATGACGCAGGCAATGTCCCTTTCCGAGTGCCCAGAGCCCCCGGTCGGCTGTTCGACGTCTCCCCGGGCAGATACAGATGCAGATGTCGGGAGAGCACAAGAAGCAGTTCGGGCAAGGCGTAGTAGTGGGTATTTGCAGGGTACAACGTGGTGGATCAAGAAACGAATGGGAAAAGCAACGGGAAAGGAAAAATAAAGGAAAGGGAAGAAGAGACGAGGCAGAGTTACCAGGACAAGGCCAGCTCTGAATCGCTACCGCAGTGGGAAACGACTGTTGCTGACGTCGTGGTCAAGTCGAGACGAAAGAGAGGGGCGCCGGCGCATGAACCTGGGGGGCACTGGGCGATGCAGTGTCTGGCACGTCCGGCCTCTCTGGCCTCTGGCTTAGAAGCAGCGGTCAACTACCGGGATCTTGAGTTACTCTGTCGATTCAATGTTCCGGGAGGAGGGGGGGGGGGAAGCGGAATATTCGTTCTGGTTGCAGGCGAAGGCGGCGGGCAGAAATCACGAGCCGTTTTCCAAAAAGAAAGAGAAAGAGAGAGGAACGAGAACCAAAGGCAGAATCGCTGGCAAAAGAAACAGTGAGCTGTATCACGGCACGGAGCAGTCGCAAGCCGGGGAAGCGGCTCGAAGCACCAGAGATCAAGGCGTTGGAGGAGGGAGGTCTGCAAGCCAGATGTGATGAGGCAAGGAGGGATGGGCGGAAATGGAGATGGGCGGAGCACGGGCTACGGCCAACGGGGCACGGAGAACTTATGGAGAGGGGGGGACGCTACACAATCTCCAAGTACCTTCTGGTACCCGAAACTGAGGCGAGCAGAGTTTCGCACCAGGGGCTGGGGCGTCTGGGGCGTCAAATAGAGTCGAGCTTTGAGGCCGGACCAGTTGCTCTTTTTTACTTATACATTTCCCACCGGCCAGGAGCACGGGGGCGGGTTGATTCGAGGTGTACTTGGGCAGGTACCTGGGTCTGTAAGCTCCCAATGTACCCATGCATTGTGCTCCGTACGATGCACGGAGCACGAGTACTCCGTAGCATGGAATGAATACGGAGTAGTATTTGCATCTGCATTCGTCCAATGAATGGCCGAGTGCTTTCTCCTGTTCCATTTGATCAGTGGATGCCATCGCTTTACCGCCTTGCCAAGTCCGCCAGTGCTCGAGATACGGAGTAGTAGGCATTGATGGTGTCGTCGGCGTGGTCACCTACGCGGTACTCAAGTACTTCAGGTTTCCGAGGTTTGTACGAAACAACGCTCCTACCCTGTAGGGACGCAATGCGGAGTGGTCCAGAATCCAGATGTCGTCCTGGAATTACAAGGTGGAGATGCGAGCGTCCGGGAACATTTGAGGCATCATCACGCACCAGCTTGTGGCCAACGCTCGCTTGCCAGACGGCACACGGACTGGACTGGCCACTGGAAGACAATCCAATCGTCTTGTGAAAGCGTCAAGATTGCATCGCAAGTGGCCCAGAGCCGCACCGCACCCCCACACCCATACATCGCCCCTTCGCTCTCTTTGTCAAGACTCGAGTCTTGCAAGGCCCGTCGACGTTGCCAAATGCTCCAGAGTTCAGACCCGGGCGTCGGATACGGAGTACTAGCGAATTTACCTGGTCAATTTGCCAACCCTAGCCGAACCGCAAAACGGACCGTCGTCCATGACTCTATGCACTCGTGTGCGTCGTGTCCGGGCAACTGCCGACAACTCCAACCCGTCTTTGTGCCATCCATCATCTTGGGCACTATGGAGTACGGAGTGCTTTGACTCGTTTTGACCGACTCCAAGCATCACCGACCGGTGCACCGACGTGGACGCGGTTCGTGGCGTCTTGTCCCAAGCCACAGCCGCTGGCCATGATTTTCACCACGATCCACCACCAGGCCATTTGGAAACTTCTACGGCGTACCGCCCGACTTACTTATTGCTCCCGTCCTGGTGGTGACTCAATGTTCTGTATGAGATTTGCAAAGGGCCCTGGCCCCCCTGAAATCCGTTGTTACGCCTTTGTCGCACTCATCACCCAGGGGCCGAGCAGATGAAACACCTTCTCTATCTCGCATAGTTCACACCCTCGTGCCTCTCGCCTTTCTACAGTAAACCAGGTCTATAACGATATCCTTTGTGAGGCTTTTTTCATCGTTGTATAGCGACTATCGCTAAGATGCGACTATTGTGGGGTTGTACCTCCCCCTAGAAATTACTAGTAGAAAGTACATATTAAGGGATTATTAGCGAAATTTGCCCCACTATAAGGAAATCCAGCCCCACTATAAGAAGCCCCAGCCTATAAAAGTGGGGCCTTATAACGATAAAATGCATAGTAACTAAGCAAAAAGTCAACGATATTGTTAGTAACGCGACTATTAACGATTTACTAGGGAAAAACCTTAGATAACTGTGAATTATCGTAAAAACCTGAATATCGCTAAGATACAGGATCGTTATAGACATGGTTTACTGTACTCCGTTTGCTCTCCGGTCAAGCTGGTCGTGTCAGTCAGTCGCCGTCGAGCCTCCAAAAAAATCTTATGCGCACTCTACTGTGGCCAGCAGACAAAGTCTGGTATTGAACCATGCCAGACAGATAGATGCCTGGATGATATCAAGCGCTGCTCCATACGTCACATTCGGGTATGGCTGTCGATTGGCAAATATAATATACGCCCTCGTGTGTTTCCTAAAATAACATTTGGACGCATATCCGTCGTTCGGCGCCAAGCGAACCAATGGCCAGACTGGCTCAGATATCACGTACACGCTTTTTTGTATAAACGCACCGTGCTCTTCGAAAAATGACCCGCCTCCCGGGTTGCACGATCAAGTCTAGATAGATGGCTGTCGCTCGCTTCCTGTCTGTTACTGACCCTGGTTTGCAAAACAGCTCAAGCCATCCTGGCGCATGTACGTAGGAGTATGCCTGCCGTGGCGGGCGGGCGAGATCTGTATAGATCGCCATCTCAAACAAACAAAACAATATCTGTAACCGGCAAGTTGGATGCCCATTTGTCCATGTCGCCGTCTTGGCTATATGCACATAACATGCAATATTCGATGCAAGAAAAGCTCCATTCCCAGAACACCGTCAGCGGTCAGCGAGTCATCCGCCTCCTCACGGCCTTTGCTCTGGAAATTTCCCCACAGCTCCTTTTTTTTTTTTACTACGAGCCTCGTTGCGGATCGCCGACACGTCGATTCCTAGACTTCGTTCTTGGTCACCAATCCAGTTTACTTGGACACGGAGTACGGAGTAGTTGGAGACCGCTCATGTACTGTATTTCGGCCTGATACTCCGGCTTCGTAATCACCACATGGACACTCAGGAAGATAAAACGAATATCGTCGGATGCCTCACATGAACACGTAACTACCTAGGTGGCTGGTGGGGAACTTGACCCTTTGGGATCGCTTAGCATGAAAACAAACGTGCTGGTACCCGTATCCTTGGTTTAGTACAGGCCTCATGGGTCATGACAAGGCTGCCGTTTTGCGCTCGCTCCCCAGTTATTAGCCGCAGTATAAGCTTGGGAAAGAATCATCCATAGATCGCAGACCTAGTGTTGCAGATTCTACGAAAATTGAATGACCACAGAGGCATGTCACGTCATATATGCCTCAGTCATGGAGCTGGTATCTAGATTGACTCTATAACAAGCTACAATACGCCACATGGTTCTAGGGCGCTCGGGCAGCAAATAACGAAGCCGCTTATACTCCCCGTCACACAAGGACCGTGTATATTCCCGTTTCAGCATTCGCCACATTCATCGTCCTCCTGACGCACTCTCTCCCTCACTCTCTCTGACGGACAGCAACTTCCACCTCCTGGCCCTCAAACTTGGGCAGCTCTGAAGCCACCTTCTCCCAGTTCTTTGAGCCGTCAACGAGGGCTCTGATAGCGTCCAAGATCTTGAATTCTTCGGCTCGGACTTGAGCGGTGGAGTCGCGATCTCTCAGTGTAATGGTATCGTCCTGGAGGGTCTGGAAGTCGACAGTAATACCGAGGGGTGTACCAAGCTCGTCGTTTCGGCTGTATCGCTTGCCAATACTAGCTGACGAGTCATCAATCCGGTTGGAGATGCCGGCGGAACGGAGTTGCTGAGAAAGCTTCTTGATGATAGGGCGGAACTGAACGTTGTTGGAAAGAGGAACAATGAGGACTTTGGTAGGAGCCACTGTGGGAGGGAATGACAGAACCTATTGCTCAGCTCAGTTAGCATCCCGTAACAGCATGTCACTTGTGGGTTGGTCGGGTTCACATACGCCACGAGCCTCGTCTCCACCATCACTGCCGCGAGTCCAGAAATTGTGCTCAATCAGAGAGTACAGAATACGACCAATACCGAATGAAGGCTCAATGACGTTGGGGGTGAATTCTCTTGTGTTTTCGATTCTCTTGCGGAATTCGATCTTGAGAGTATCACTGCCAACCTCGACCTTGCCATCGCCAACACCAGCGACATCCAAGTTGATCTTGCCAGATTCGGTCAGCTGTTTAGCAAGCTTCTCCCGCTCCTCCTGGGAAGTGGCCAGCAGAGCCGTCTCCACGGCCCTGGCATCCTTCTTAAACAGGGGACCAAACTTCTTCCTTTGGATATCCACTTGCCATTCCTCGATGACAAGAGGCTCTTCCAGGCGCTCACGAACAACAAGAGGAGCACCGGTCTTCTTGGAGTGAACCGACAAGTCGTAGGCACTGCGGTCAGCACAGCCAACACACTCAACCCAGCCTGAGCTAGTGAGCAACTCGGCGTCCCAGCAGTCGCAGGCGTAATGGGCCATTTCGTTGGCCATGTGCTGACGGAAGCGCATTTTTGACAGATCGACACCAATCCTGTCGAGGAAGAGGTGGATTCTAGCAAGAAAATAGCCGAGGGTCTCATTGTCAACGAGGCCAGACTTGACTGCCTCGCCGACGGTGACTTTCTTGGTCTCCGTCTTACCGGAAAG